GAATTTGGAGGGTAGTTATGCTTGACACAAAATTCAGACATTTCCGGTGAATTGTCGCATGTGTCGGTATTTAAAATTCGAGTTTTTCGAAAATAACTCGAAAACGGATAAAGCTAGCGGAAAATTTCTGCTGGTAGGAAATTAAGTTAGAACAGGTAGATATAGGTAGGAAAAATTTCAAATTCGAAATTCGAACTTTAGGGGTACTTATAGGGGGGCAAAAATTTTTGTAAGAAAATTGTCTTACCGATAACTGTCGGATTTCTCTAAATTGAGGAAAGCCAGGGGGCAAATCTCATAGTTGAGAGAGAAATTTTGATTGATGGGAAGAAATTTCGAGTTTAAATTTTTGGATTTCGAAACTTAAGCAAGTTTCGAGTTGAGTGAAGGTTAGTTGGGGGGAATTATATGGGGATTTCGAAATTAGGGATCCGGGATTTCGGGATTTTTAGGGATTTTCGAATATGGTCGAATGAGTAGTCATTCGAAAGCGAATAATGAGGGGAGTTGAATGGGATATATGATAAGTATAAAAGTCGAAGTTGGAGTTCGAACTTCGAAATCCGGGTTTTTCGGATATGGGTGAGTGGGTAGTCAATCGAGAGCTGGGAGTGAGGGGAGTCTAAAGGGATAAAGGATAAGGATTAAAGTCCAATTTCGAAGTCGAACTTCGAAATCCGGGATTTTCGGGATTTGTGGATGTGGATGAGTGGGTAGTCATTCAAGAGGGGATAATTAGGGGAGTCTAATGGGATAAGGGATAAGTATGAAAGTCAAAGTTAGGAGTTCGAACTTCGAAATCCGGTATTTTCGGGATTGGGAAGCATGGTCGAATGAGTATTCATTCAAGAGGGGATAATGAGGGGAGTCTAATGGGATAAGGGATAATGTCGAAATTCGAAGTTCGGTGTTCGAACTTCGAAATCCGGGATTTTCGGGGTTTGGGGATATTCGCAAGTGTGTAGTCATTCAAGAGGGGATTATCAGGGGAGTCTATCTGGATAAAAGATAAAGTATAAATTCGAAGTTTCGCGTTCGAACTTCGAAATCCCGGATTTACGAGGTTGGGGGATATGGGTGAGTGGGTAGTCATTCAAGAGCTGGGACTGAGGGGAGTCTAATGGGATAAGGGATTAAGCCTAAAGTCGAAGTTCGGAGTTCGAACTTCGAAATCCGGTATTTTCGGGATTGGGAAGTGGGGTCGAATGAGTACTCATTCAAGAGGGGATAATGAGGGGAACTTAGTGGGATAAAGGATCAAGCTGAAAGTCGAAGTTCGGAGCGAAAACTGAATTGAAACTCGATTTCAATATCCTATGTTATAGAGCGTCCCCTGACGGTCCGAAAAAGGTATAATATGTCGGGGGTCCGTTTGAGTCTGAAAAAGTTATGGCCAATGTTCGCAAATGTCGCGAAATTTTTTGGACTATAACTTTTTTTAAAATTTTTTAAAAATTTTTCTGACAACGGATATGGATTCAGCGCGTATCAATGCACCATATAGGATATTTTTGGGTCAAAATTTGAAAATTTTTGACCCCTCGAATTTTTCAAAAGGGGTACCCCTTTTGGGGGATATGAGGGATTTTTTAGGGGATCATAACTTTTTGTGGGATTATCGGAATGTGATGGGGTTTGCTTTATAAAATAGAGTAAAAAATTAGAAATTTTTTGAGCCTAAAAAATTTCGAAAAAATTCGAAATTGGAGGTGTAGGGGTCTAATTTCGAAAAACCCCAAATTTTTTGATTTTTCGAAATTTTTTCGGGATTTTTGCCGGCAGTTCTGGCCGACAGTATTTTTCTTGGATAGAGCAGAATTTTCTGCATCTTATAGAATTTTAAAATTTTTAAAAAAGGTTTACTTTGGGCGAGATATGATTTTTTAAAAATTTCAGTGATTTTTTTCGGCTGAAATTCTCGGCCGAAAAAAATATTTTTTCAAAGTGGGTATAAATAGGGCAAATGAGATATCTATCGAAAGCTCTCATCGAGCTGGATATAAAAATATTTTTTTCGAACTTTTTCGGTACATTTTGACGAATGTACAGAGCTTCGAAAATTTGTGGGGCTGAGTACAGTACCCGGAGAATGATGGGAGAGAGGGAAGAAAAATGATTGACAGGTCAAATGTAAGGAAGAGAGGAGAAATTTTTCTCCGTCTCTGACCATGCCGGGCAAACCGGCGAAGAACTTAGGGGTGAATTTTGTATATTGGGAAAAATTTTGTGGGGTGATAAGCTGGATCCTGTTATGGATCCGAAGCAGAAGCATGCTTCTGCTTCACATTTTTGCTTCAGTTTCGAATTTTTGAAACTTGAAGCAAATTTGCTTCGAGTTTTGAATTTTCGAAACTTGAAGCAAATTTGCTTCAAGTTTTCCAAATTTTTGATTTCGAAGCAGTTTTGCTTCAACTTTTATAAAATTTTGTTTTTAGTGGACCAAAGTGGAAGGATGAGTCCGAATGAAAGAAACACGAGGGCCGAAGGCCCGAAGTGACTCTAAGTGGAAGGATGAGTCCGAATTGACTCTAAGTGAAAGGATGAGTCCGAATAAAGGAAAGACAAGGGTCTATGTGGAAGGATGAGTCCGAAGTGACTCTAAGTGAAAGGATGAGTCCGAATAAAAGAAAGACAAGGGTCTATGTGGAAAGATGAGCCGAAGTGACTCTAAGTGAAAGGATGAGTCCGAATAAAGCGAGCTGACACACATCTAAATGGAATGGCGAGTGCCGAAGGCCCGAGCTGACACCCATCTAAAAGGAAGGGAGAGGGCGAGGGCCGAAGGCCCGAGCTGACACCCATCTAAAAGGGAGGGCGAGGGCCGAAGGCCCGAGCTGACACACATCTAAATGGAATGGCGAGTGCCTAAGGCCCGAGCTGACACCCATCTAAAAAAGAGGGTGAGGGCCGAAGGCCCGAGCTGACACACATCTAAAAGGAAGGGAGAGGGCGAGGGCCGAAGGCCCGAGCTGACACCCATCTAAAAGGGAGGGCGAGGGCCGAAGGCCCGAGCTGACACCCATCTAAAAGGAAGGGCGAGGGCCGAAGGCCCGAGCTGACACACATCTAAAAGGAAGGGAGAGGGCGAGGGCCGAAGGCCCGAGCTGACACCCATCTAAAAGGGAGGGCGAGGGCCGAAGGCCCGAGCTGACACACATCTAAATGGAATGGCGAGTGCCTAAGGCCCGAGCTGACACCCATCTAAAAAAGAGGGTGAGGGCCGAAGGCCCGAGCTGACACACATCTAAAAGGAAGGGAGAGGGCGAGGGCCGAAGGCCCGAGCTGACACCCATCTAAAAGGGAGGGCGAGGGCCGAAGGCCCGAGCTGACACCCATCTAAAAGGAAGGGCGAGGGCCGAAGGCCCGAGCTGACACACATCTAAAAGGAAGGGAGAGGGCGAGGGCCGAAGGCCCGAAGTGACTCTAAGTGAAAGGATGAGTCCAAACAGAGGGAACACGAGGGCCGAAGGCCCGAAGTGACTCTAAGTGGAAGGATGAGTCCAATCGAGGGGTAGAATGTATTTTACCGCCACAGTGTCCTGATATCCACCCCAGTGGCCAAACCCATCGCTAGTTTAAAATAAAAATTTTACTTAATAATACCTTAAAATTATTAAAATTTAAATATTTTTAATTTTTTTTAAATTTTAGCGTGGAGTAGAAATAGTTGTCCCCTATAGAATATATTTACCTCGTAAATTTTATCGGTCAGTTTTTTGCAAAAGAAATTTTATTTAATTAAAATTATTTTTTAAAGTAATTTTGCTATCCTTGCATCTATTCGCCCTTCCGATAATTTGGGTGGTTTTCTTTTTGCTGTTCTAAATGCTTTTGATACAGTTGTGGAATTGGGTGTTCAGTTACAGTCTGCAGGCAAATTATTTTAATTTTTTATTGGAATCTCTATTTTATCCTATTTTTATTTCTGGAATTTTTAAAATCTGTGATTTCCTGAAAATTTTAGTTTAGATTTATTTAAAATTTTATTTTCTCCTTTTTACTTATTTCAGTTCTCAATTTAATTTAATCATCATAATCAGAGATTCTTGTCTCCTCTATTTTATTTATCATTTGCTGTTCCCTTATCTTATAATACCGTAAAAACTGTATTTATTACCCTCCCTCGAATAATTACCCCACCTGCTTTTATTACCCCCTTTAGCAGGAGATCGAAACAATAATTGCCCTCCCTCAAATAATTACCCCCTATTTTTTCCTAAGCTAATTTTAAAAATATCTATTAGAAATCATTATGATTTTAATAATGGGCATTTTAAGGATCAATATAAAAAATAAATCAATAGAATAAAAGGATTTAGAGGGGATATCGCGGAACTTATGAGAATTAAGAGAGATTAAGAGGGTTTGGTTGAGATTCTGAGCGATTAAAAAGGATCTATTGGATCTAAGATTAACACCTTAATGCTCCGATATCCCTCCGCATCTTTACATCCCGGAATAAACCCAAATTAATCTTCCAAATCTAATTAATTCGTTGATACAGTTGAACTACCTCTTAACCCCTCCTCCAAGTCTCATTTAATATTAATCTCATATCTCCCTGAAAATTCCTCAAATCTATCTGGATAAAAGTATATTTAGAGAATGTAGGATATATTCCCTAAATAGGAGTCATACATATTTGTATACATGCCGATCGTGAACTTATATATCCCAGGAAGGAAGTATTGGTGTTATTCTACAAGTTTGGGGTACATTATATGTGAAAACATTAAGGGAATATATGTAGAATATCTGTAAAAATTTAATATTTATCTCTAAGTTCGGTAACATATTGTATATCACTGTTCATATCTTTATGAAAAAATAAAAAATTTACAAGTCGAAATAATAATTGCCCTCCCTCAAATAATTACCCCACCTGCTTTTATTACCCCCTCCAGCGAGAGATCGAAACAATAATTACCCAGGGTAATTAATACAGTTTTTACGGTAAGTATTTCATTTTTAGAGATTTTTTAAAGGATATAACCTAAGGATTTTATTTTTATTTCCAAAAGAATTCTCTAAATTCAGGCCCAACACAAACAAACATTTCCCTTTTCTACACCGATTCTTCTTCAACCGATTCATCAGAACAACGTAGCACATCCAGAGTTTTAGCTTCCTTTTTAGTTCCAGTATTTGCTGGGCAATGGACACAATTTGCATTGGAAGTACATGAACAGACTGTTGGGCTATATTTTAGATGTATGAGATATGCTGTTAGACAAGTAAAGAGAGAAGGGATTTTTTGTAAAATAAATTTAAAATAAATTCCATTACTTCAAATAACATTATTTATTTAAAAATATTCTTTAAACTTTTTAAATAAAATAAAGGTTTATTTATTTAAATTACCCACAGGTGTATAGACACCCTACACAGCTGCAAATGGACGATGCTTCTAAATTATATATTGCAAATGCCGGTCCTATTATTGGTGGGGGGTTTGAAGTAAAGTTTATTTTTATTTATTTTTTACAAAAATTGTATAGAGAAAAATATTGTTTGGTTGTTTTTTACAAGTTTCTCTTTTCATTATCTGCTACTTCAGATATATATCCTCCCTCCCCCCTCCCTCCATACATCCACTTAAACCTTTTTTTAAACATTTTTTTATCATTATTCTTTTTTGTATTTATTTAAAATATTTTTTTGTATTAAAAAGATATTTTTAACTCCATGTGGCTTCTATTAATTGCTTCTTCCTTTTCTTTTAAGTTTCTAATTTTTATTGAGAATTTAATATTTAATAAAGATTATTGTTAACTGATTGTATACATTTAAGCATTACTTTTAAATAAATTCTTCTCTTTCAGATTATTCACCATTTTCTTTATTTTCTCCTTTTTATTAAAAAAATGTATTTTGATATAAGCATTTTTTGTTTTGCTTCCATTTACATAAGTAAACCTTTTTTTCACCTATCAAAACAAAAATCATTTTTGATCTTTACTTCTTAACTAAATTAAAATTAAACTTTTTTAAACTTTTATTTTGTACTCCCTTTCCATTAGACAATCAGAACTTTTTCAACAAACAATTTCAGCACTTTAGAAGCTTTTTATTAGAAAGTGACCTCTAATTGGAGAGGTCTACACCTCTAATAGACCTCTCCAATTAGAGGTCACTTTCTAATATGAAGCTTCTAAAGTGCTGAAATTGTTTGTTGAAAAAGTTCTGATTGTCTAATGGAAAGGGAGTACAAAATAAAAGTTTAAAAAAGTTTAATTTTAATTTAGTTAAGAAGTTTTTTCCCTCATTTTCACTTTCTTTTTAATTTTAAAGAAAAATATGAACAACTACTTCTTGAATTTAATAATTTATTCTTTATATTTCACTCTTTCACTAAATTATTTCCCAAAAATATTAGTAATTAATTCAACAAAAATATCACAAAATTTATCAGCCCCAAATTCTTCTTTAGTTTCTACAGTAACTGATGAGGATATTATATCTGAAATAAAATCTTTAGATGAAGCTGAAACAAAAAAAGATTTTATTAGGCAAAAAGAAGAAAAAAATATTGAAGAAAAATTACAAAATGTGTCTCTAAAAGAATCCTTTTTATCAACTGAGAAGACAACAAAACCTTTAAAGAAAATAAAAATTGAAGAAGCTAAATCAACAAAAAAACTAATAAAAGTAGGTACAACAATTGAAACAAAACAAAAAGTTGAAACCGAAACAAAGACAACAACAGCTACAACAACAAAAGCCAAACAAAAAACAATTTCTACTACTACAACGGCCAATCCAAAAATAATAACTAAAGAAATATTTACTTCTAAACCCCAAAAATTATTTAAATCAACAAAACCCCAAATATTTACAACAACTAAATCAAAGCCAGCTAAATGGGAAACTGAAACAACATTCAAAAATAAAACAATTTTTACTGCTACCACAGTCAAACCAGAAAAATTAACTAAAACAACATCTAAAAGAGAAGTAAAATCCAAAACTACGGCTAAACCAGAATTAAAGGCAAAATCTAATGTCTCTAAAACAAAAACTAAAGCAACCCTAAAAACTGAAACAAAATTATCAACCAAATCTAAGCCAAAACGAGCAACTACATTAAAATCTAGTTTAGCAACAACAGCCAAACCTGAAGCAAAATTTAATACTACAGTGAAATCCGAAATATTAACTACTAGAACTAAATCGAAATCAACAGAAAAATTTGAAACAAAACCAGTATCTAAATTAGGAAAGGAAGCAAAATCCAAATCAGAAGCAAAACTCAAAATCGAAGCAAAGGAAGTCAAGCTAAAGAATGAAACAAAACTAGAAAAAGCAAACACAACATCTGAAGCAAAATTGGAAAAAGAAGCAAAATCAAAATCCAAAGCAATACCAATAACCAAAGTAAAAACCAAATCCGAGTCAAAACCAAAAACTGAAACAAAATTAAAAGAAGCAAAAACCAAATCTCAAGAGAAGTCTAAAAATGAAATAAAACCAGAAGCAAAATTAGGAAAAGAGGTAAAATCCAAATCCGCAGTAAAACCAGCGACGGACACAAAACTAAAAACTGAAGCAAAATTAGTTAAGGAAGTAGAACCCAAATCTGAAGCAAAACCAGCAGCAAATATAAAATTAGATATAAAAACAAAACCAGAAACTAAAGCAGAAAATACTTCAAAGAAAGAAACAAAACCAATAATTCAACATAAACACCGTCAACACCACAGACATTCAACAACCCCACAAACAATTTCATACCAAGAAAGCAATAATAATGAGGAATTTAAAGTTATTGTAAATAATCTTCCGGAAGAAAAGAAAACAATAAAAATATTAAACAAAGAAAAAGAAGAAGAAAATGAAGAGAAAACGATTTTAGAAATTGTTGAGAGTGGGGGTGAAGGGGTTCGGTTAGCTTCAAAAGAAAATGGGTATGTTTTTGAGGGTATGTTATGTCCTCTCCCTCCTCTCAATTAAGCAAATATTTTTAAATAAAAGGTCCCTCCAGAATCGTCTACTTTTTCCGGAAGTAGATTTTTCCGGAATTTTCTGCAACAATTGTCTAGTGCTCCGGAAAGATTCCGGGAGGATTTTACATCTTTTCTATATGTTTTCCGGTTGTATTTTCTGATTCTGGTTAAAGAAATTGAAATAGTATAGTATCAAAAAGTTGTAGCAGAAAATCTTTTTTATAAGAAAAATCTGATAATTTAAATAACTTTTATTTATTTTTTAATTATTCTTTCCTTTCTCTCTTTTTTAATTATTTTATTTAAAAATTAGCGAGAACACTTTGAATTTCTCTATCAAAAGTTTCCAATCAATTGAAGTAGCAGATGATAATGAAGAAAATGGGAAAACAAAAAATAAAAAAGTGAGAAATTAAAAAATAATTTTTGGGAATTTTAGGGGGCAATTCAAGAACTTAAATTGCATGATGACCCTGCAGAAGCAGCAAATCAATGCAATGAAAATTGGGTAAAAAATAGAAAAAAATGTTTAATGTAAAGTTAAATATTTTAAATTATTTGTTAAAATAATTAAAAAAACAAAATTGGGAAGAAAAACGTTAAAACACCCCTTTATACAAAAAAAAAGCCAAAAATAGCCTAAAGAGTAACTAGAATTTTGAAATTTATTAGAATTTTTAAGTTAAATATTTTTAAATTTATATTCAAAAATGTAACAATTTTTTGAGTTTCTAACCTTGATGATTAATTAAAAATTCTAAAATTTTGTTATAACTTTACTAAGAATATATTTAAGAAATTTTGGGGGAATGGGGGAAAATTTTTTTAGAAAAAGGGTGGAAACTCCTCGGTTTTTTATTTTGTTATGGACTTTTAAACCAAAAATTATTTTTCCTAAACTAAACTAAATTCGATACTTGTAGTGGAAGAAACGTCGAAGGGATTTCTCCCGTGAAGGGGATTACCAACCACAGGTCTTTTTTAAAAAAGTTTTTTCCTTACTTTTTGTGTTTTGTGTGGTTGGTTTGTGGATTTTTTATTCATCTCTTTTTTTGCATTTATTTTTTCCTTAAATTTATTTTTTTGAGGATTCTGAAAAATCTGGACTTGTCAGTTCTGGTTTTGGTTCATTAGAAGAAAATGGATTAAGAGTGGATGAAGGGGAAGAAGGGGAAGAAAAAGGAAGATTTCCTTCAACCCCTCCAGGTTCTGGCCCTGCTCGTTTTTTACCTAAAAACATTAATTTATTAACAACCACATTAACTACAACAACAAAAAAAGAAGAAACAAAAACAACTTTATCTCCAACATTACACACTCCTTTAATTCAACAGCAAATGATTCCTGGACCTAAAGGAGAACGTGGAGAACCTGGAATACCTGGAACTGTGAGGGAATTTTTTTGGGGGATTTCTTTGGGGAAATTTTCTTTTTGTATTAAGTTTAGGGAGATAGTAGTGGCTAAATTTTTGGTGTGAGGAACAGAAGTATACAAAAAAGGAAATTTTAAATACCCAATCTTTTCTCACATAATTTTTTGTATTTAACAACCAAATATTTTTAGTGTGCCGCCACAGAATGTAGAATTCCACCACCTGGCCCTCCTGGATTGCAAGGCCCTCCAGGCGTATTCCCAGGTCTTACTGAACATGATTTACGTCGAATAGCTGCTTGGCCTGGTGTGAAGGGTGAAAAGGGGGATAGAGGAGAATGCTGTGATAAAACTACATCTAAGCAAACTTACAGAGAAGGGGTAAGGGAAATTATTTAATTTTGGGGGTTTTTTGGGAGTAATTTAAAAAAAGTAATAAAAGTAAATTACATTATAACATAATTATTTTTATCTGATCTAAAATTATCTGTATGTAGTCGACAAGGTTATATGTAGTTTTGTTTTAAATGTCACTATAAAATTCTGGGTTTTTATTGATATGATCGGTACCTATTTTCCTACCCATTTTTTCTCTAAACATAAATGTGGATTATTTGAATTTTTAAACTTATTTCTTCTAAAATTATTTTAATCAAAAAATAATCTTTAAAGTATCAAGATGGAGGAGAAGAAGTTGTTTTACTCAATGGACAACATAGTGATCAATTACCCGCTTACAATCGAAAAGTACATGGAAGTAGTAATTCAATGAAAGGAGAAAAGGGAGATAGAGGAGAACGAGGACCTCCAGGATTGCCTGGAAAGTTAATTGAAAAAGTAAAAATATTTTAAAATAAATCTTTTAAAAATTTAAATATAGCCTCAATCTCCTTCATTTTCTGGTGTTAGAATATTCCAAACAGCATTAGAATTATTAGCTGCTACACATAATTGTCCTATTGGTAGGGTATTTTGTTTATAAAGAAAGGGAATGATAAACAATTTAAATAAATTTTCTTTTTTAGACAAAATTTATTTTTTTTTAATTTTGTATTCTTTTAGGATTTTTGGCTTTTGCCCTCTCTACTCAACAATTATTTATTAGAGTAAATTCTGGTTGGAAACAAATTATGGTGAGTTTGTTTTTAAAGTTTTCTGATTTCTTTATGCTTTTCTCAGCTTGGTGGAAACCTTCTTACAGCCCAATCTGGAACAAAAGAAAGGACTGTTGATGATAATGTTTCTTCTCCTTCAATTTCGGTGAAATTTAATTTTTTTAGTTTCTAATATTGGGTTACGCGTGCTTTTAATTACTAATTAATTATAACAAAGGAAAGGATTAAATATATTACTTAATAATAATAGAAGAAATTTAAAAAATGATTTCAATTTTTCACTAACACATATTTCTAACAAAATTATTATAATATTTTTATTTTAAATTAAAAAATAAATTTTTGTTAACAAAGAAGGGGAATCTTTGAAACAAAAAAAAATAAACTTGAAAGCAACTTTAATTTAAAAATTAATTAAAAACAGAATAATAATGCTGATGATTCTGATGAATTAAATAGACTTTCTTATTGGGTAGGGTTTTTATTTAAATTTTGATTTGCTCTTTTTTAACATTGCTTTTAATTAATAATATAAAGTTGGCTTTGGATGAACCTAGCAGTGAAGAATTTAGAACAGATAATGAAATGGTAATTAAATTAAAGCTTGCTTTTTTAAAAATAAATTAACAAAATTTATTAAAAATTAACAGAGCTTTGGGGGATTTTTTGGATTTTAATTATTAAATTATTCCCCCCTTTTAAAAGATAAACACTTTACCTTCCCCTGAACAACGCTGGCAACCTCGATTTCCACCTAAAGAAAATCGTCGATTGGAAGAAGAAAAAGAAGAGGAAAAGCAGAAGAATCGAGTACCTAGTGTTCAACAGAAAAGGCATAAAGATAGAATTGTGGGAATTTTTTTAAATTTTATTAGAAAATTTATTGAGAGATTTTTAAATCTATATAGCTCTCCTTTTAACTTTAACGTATAACAGACAATTTTTAATTTTTTTTACTAAATTAAACAAATTTATAAAAATTTAAAGATTCACTTGATTGCTTTAAATGAGCCTTTAAATGGAAATTTTGGTGGTGTACGTGGTGCTGATTTAGAGTGTTATAAACAGGCTAGACAAGTAAAATAAATAAACTCCTTCCTCTCTCTTTTTAATTAATTAAATAATTTTTAGTTTGGATTTACAACAACATTTCGAGCTTTTCTTTCATCTAGAGTTCAAGATTTAAATAAAGTAGTACATGAAGATGATAGAAATTATACTCCTATTGTAAATATTCGTGGTGAACGCCTTTTTGATTCTTGGAATAGCGTTTTTGATGGAGAAAGGAGTGTACATGCACATGTTCCCATCTACTCTTTTAATAGAAGGGATGTTATTTCTGACAATAATTGGTGGGGATTTGTGTGAATTTTCTTTCTGAAATTTCCCTCATTTCCAGGCCCGACCGCTGGCTTTGGCACGGGTCTACAGCAGAAGGTTCCCGTACTTCAACAGCTTTTTGTGATGGCTGGTATTCTAATAATTCAAATTCTTTTGGAAATGCTTCCCCTCTACATTCCCGTCATTCACTTACTGGACAATCAAAAGAGGCTAATTGCAATAAGTTTTAAATAATTTTTAGAAATTATTTAAAAATATTTTCTTTTTTTTCTAGCCGTTTTGTTGTTTTATGTGTAGAGGTTATGTCTAAATTTAATGTTGATTCAAAATTGGGAAAACGTTTTATGTCTGATGATGTTATTAGAAAATAAAAATTTATTGTTGAATACATAGAAATCTCTTGGAATTTTGAGCGGTGAAATTACCTAAATACCCATTTCTGTTTGGGGATCCCTAGGGAAGTTGTTCTTACTATTTTGTGCCCACAAATATTTTTATTTTCCAAATCATGACTTAGGCTCCAACCAAGGGTACCTTCAAAGCTCATTTGTTTGTAAAGGAAATTGAGGCGAAATTGAAACGGGGAATTTTTCTTAAAAATCACTGCCAATATTCTTCAGTTTAAATTTATATATTTTATTTTGCCATTAACTTTTTTATTTTTAATGCAATAATTTCTTTTTTGTTCACTCATTTGATCATCAACTTTTCATAAATAAATTTTTAAGTATAATTTAAATTTAAGCATTATATTCCACCATAACTATTATATTTACCAATAATTTATTTGAGATACTTTCAAAATAATTTTAAACAATATCAAAATGTAAATTGCTTATAAAAATCAGTCAGTCCATTCTTTAATAATTTCATCTATTTTCCTCTAACATTTTGGAAGCAGAAAAAGCTTTTCTAACAATCTATAAATTAAATTTCTTTTTAATATTTAAAAATAACCAACCTCAACATCAATTCCCGCCATTTTAGCTGTATAAAATCCATAGGATTTATCACTAGCTCCTTCAGCTAATGTATACAAAAATGTTATTGCTTCCATTGTTGGGTCCTCTAAATTTGCATTTTCAACCATACAAGCCTTTAAATATTAAAAAAAATATTTTCAAAATTAATTTCCCAAAAAACCCTACCATATGCCCCAATTTAACATTTGGATTATTAGCAACAAATTTACATAAAGCATGATAATGTGTTGAGAAGAGTCCTCTACAACATATTTTTGTTGATAAATATTTTAAAACGGCACAAGCAATTGCTGTACCATCAAAAGTACTAAAAAATAATTTTCTAAAAATTCTCTAAAAAATACAAAACCTCGTTCCACGACCAAGTTCATCAATTAAAACTAAAGAATATGAAGTAGCTTGTCTTAAAATAATATTTGTTTCAGCAAGTTCAACATAAAATGTGGATTGGCCTATTGAATATTTTTATAATTAGAAAATATTTTTAAAAAGTCGAAAAATTCGAAGAAAATTTTTATAAAAAATTAATAACCTGCAACAAGTCTATCACTAGCTCCAATTCTACAAAATATTCTATCAACTGGAGTTAATTTCATAGAATTTGCTGGAACCATTGAACCCTAAAAATTGATTTTTCAAATTTTATCAGATATATTTAAAGAGTTTTCAATTAAAAAACCAACAATTTGTGCCATAACAACAAGTGCAGCAATTTGTCTCATATAAGTACTTTTTCCACCCATATTAGCACCAGTAAGTAACATTAAAGGAGAATTTTTACCGCCAAGTTCACAATCATTTGGAATATAATCAACACCAACTGCATCAATTAATGAAGGATGGAATCCTTTAGAAATTGACAAAAATGGCTGGAAACAATGAATAAATTGTATTTAATTGAAGTAAAAATTTTCTCGAATTAAAACCTTTTCAGAATCATAACAAAATTCTGGGAAACACATTTTCTTTGGCGAAGATTGAGCAAATAACGTTAAAGAAATTAAACAATCAAATTGAGCTAAATTATTTACAATATTTTTCCATTTATCTTTTCTAGAAAAATAAAAGAATAAATTTAAAAAATCCAAAAAAAAACCTTTGACTAAAATCAGCAAAAACACGTCTTGTAACTTCTGCACTAATTAAATCACGTTGAGTTTCAGAATTTGTTAATTTATCGAAAAGTTGTTGAAGTTCATCAGTATAATAACGTTTAAAACCCTTGGAAAAATAAAAATTTATATTAAAATTAAATTGAAAAGTAAACCTTTCTTTGTGATGTTAATCTGAAATCTGTACCCAAAGATTTACAAAAAGCATCGGGTATTTCTAATTGATAAGAATTCCTGCCTGTACCAACAAACTTTATTGTCTGAAAAAATATGTATATAAGAGAAATATTTGATTTGTAAACTAAATACTTCCAGTCAAATGGTTAGTGTGTTTGCTTACAAAAAGAAAATAACAGAGGTTCGGGTCTCCTAGAGTTTAAACTTTTATTTTAAATATTTTTATTTTTCCAAAACCATATTTTCCCTCAATACATTTTAAAAAACAAACCGAGCATTTAAAAACTCTTCTCATTTTTTCAAGAAATTCATTAAGATGAGATTCACAACTAATTACATCATTACAAGCCAAATCATATTCCTCATCAACACCTTTATTTGGCTGGATAACCCCATGTTCTAAAGCTGATTGACGGTCAAAAGCATTCTAAAAACACAAAATTATAACCTTTCTATCAAAAAACAAAGTAAAATCCCGACAAAAATAAATTTAAAAACCTTAAAGAATTGCAAATCTTCACTCATTTCTTTGTAATTTGAACCAAAACAATTAGTTAACATTGAAGGAACACTGCTTATTGTTAGATATAAAATATATTTAAAAAATATTTTTTAAAAAAACCTCTTCTCTTCGTCCATTTCATTCGCGTTTAGAAACATTCGTTTTAATCTCATTATATCCTCTACAAATTTAATAAAAATTTCTTCAAACAAAAATATAACTAACCTAATCCATCCAAAACAACCAAAAGATCGCGAATTTTACGTTTATTGTATCTGTCACTATCAAAAAGTTGTGCTCGAGAATCAGGATGACCACCACCACCATGTTTTGTATCTGCTCGATGTTTTGAACCAATTGTATGTATTCTTTAAATAAATTTATTTAAATAAATCAAAAAGAAAACCTTTGAAATAAACGTTCCAAATCAGGTATTTTCCTAAAAAAAATATTTTAAAGACATTGGCAAAAAATGTTAGATTCATGTGAAGACCCTAAATAATTTTCCCATAACCCCTCAATATAAAATTAACTTTAACAATTCCATCCATTTTGCTAAATGTGGTCGCCTTTCATCTGACATCAACCATTTAATACAAGACTGTCTTCCCAGAAGGGTTTCTTTATCACAAGTTGGGGTAGATATCCATTGGCGAAGAAGACGTTTACCAGAAGCCGTTAAACATCGATTAAGAGTGTTAAATAATGAAAATGATGCATTAGAGTTTGTGTTATTATTAGATGAAAGTGATGGTAAAATGTGTAAATTAAGTAAAGAAGAACCATCCAAAATACTCTAATTGAATTTTGTAAATTTATTTTTAAAATTAATAATATAGAAAAGAAAAAGTGCAACTAGGATTTATGACCATACTTATGTCACTTTCCTCGGGAATTCCCTTCAGAACTTATTCAGTGCAGACATAATTAGTAAGCCTTTCTTTCCAACAATTTCAACATTAGAATTGGCTAATGGACCACAGAAACACGCCGATGGCGTCTGATTCCTCATTCGACTTATTCGCCAGAACTTGCCCTTTCTGATTTTCATTTATTTCAATCTTTAAAAAATTTTCTTCGCAACCAGACCTTCAACAATTCCGAGGATATCGAAAATGCCATTTGTTTGTATTTTGTCTCCAATGCAAACTGGCTTTTACAAACGCGGAATTCAAAAACTTCCCTACCGTTGGCGTGAATTGAGATATCTAGCTCAATAATTGGATTGAGATATCTAGCGAATAACTACACTTGGCAAAAAAATATAATTTACGTGTGCTTTCCTTTCCAAGCTTCAGATGAAGACATCGGACAAATATTACCATTATTATCATCAAAATTAAGCGAAGGTGGAGAATAAAGCTCAATTTGACGCATACTAATTGTATCTACATCAATTAAGCATTCACGTAAATACCTAAAAAAAGAACCGTTAATTCCTTTAAATAAAATAAAAACCAAAGAATGGCGCCAAAAGCAGAAATACAAAGTTTGTGTTGCTTTGAAGGTTTAGGGATTGGAGAGTCATCCAACAAGGAGCGAAAAGTATTCGGCCATTGGTCAATATTTGAACCAAAATAAAGTTCTTCAGAGAGCTAAAAAAAGAAAAAATAATTTCAACGGAAATACATATGTATCTAAAAACATTAAAAATTAACCAAATTCAAAGTATCCTCGGCTGTCAGAAATTGTCTCTTAGAGAATAAAATTTCCTTTGGGACACTAGAAAGCATTGTTTCCAAAAGAGTTGCGGTACCAGAAGAAAGTGCTCCTTTCTCATATATCAACTAAAAATTATTTTTAATTATTAAAAATTATCTCTCCGAACCTGCACAGGTAAATTATGAGCAAAAAGTGTTCGTAAACTACTTTGAAAACGATCATCATCAAATTCGGCAAGAAAAAATTTGCCAACAGAACAATCAACAAAACAAACACCAAATCGACTAAAGCCATCATTTGAGCGATTATCTGACTTAAAAAATTTTTTTGATTAAGGATTTTTAATTAAATTAAGAAAAATTTTTTCAATTCACTATTATTTAGGAAATTATACATAAATAAATTCTATAAAATTTTCTTACTTTTCTTTCTGTCAAAGCCAGTAAATAATTTGGACTTGAATCTACAGCAACATCAGTAGAATCTCTAGAATCACTTCCATCAAATATTCCAAAAGTTTTCGTTCCAATAGTTGTCAATCTACAAAGTTCACGCCTAACAACTTTTTCTCTTTCAATTCGAGGCGAAGAACAATTATTTGTTGAATTTTTTGATTTTTTCTGCCTTTCAGCTAATTGTTCTGGTGTTTCAGTTTGTTCAATTCGAGCAACTTTATAACCTTTATTGACAAGTTGTTCAGCATAACGGCCATAGGATGCTTCGGGAAAACCACAATGAGCATATTTTCCCTAATTAAAAATAAAATATAAAAAAACTTAAAATTTTTAAAATAAAAATTACCCTCATATAAACCAAAGACAAATTTTCCACAGCAATAACAGCATCCATGTGATAAAGCTCATAAAATTTACCAACTTTAAAAAATAGAATAGTGTCGAAATGTACAGATTTCAATTTCCACCATTGTTGATGACCTAAAGTAATAAATGAAAGAATCAGAAAAACAAAACCTGGTGACTGTTGTTTAAGAAAATCTGGAGGAACAAAAAGTGTTCGAGAATCATATTCTGGATCTGTTGGCTTCCTTTTTTGTGCATCTCTTGGCTTTTTTAAAAATTCAAAATCCAGATGGGGAAAATGATCGTCCCCGCCTTTGTTTTCTTCTTCGTGTGAAGCTTTGGTTGATTTTGGGGTTTTTAAGATGTTGGAAGATGATTTAATTTTTTGTTGTTGGTCTGAGATAATCTCTTCACCATCGTTATTAGAAAAACTCTAAAAATAGGAAATTAAAAAAATAGGACATTAAAAAAATTTTAAAAATTATACCATCGGATCTCAAAATAAAACACTTAATTTTTTAACTCTTCCCTAGTTGCGAATTTAATATTAAAAAAATTAACTAACAAATAATTCAATAAATGAATGAGCCTTCACTGTAGATTTATTTTCTTTCTCTTGGCTAATCAAATGACAGCTATCGTCATCAACAATTGGAACATCTTGTTCCATTTTTTCATTAGAAATGTTCACCTAAATTTATGAAAATTTTCTCTTAATCTTATAAAAATAACCTTTTCACTATCATTTTCTCCCTTTCCATCATTTAAATCCTCTTTAACTTCACTTAAATTTTTATCAACTTTATCTTCATTTTTTCTAATTTTTCTTTCACTTTTAGATTTATTTAAATCATCAACCTCTTCCTCATCAGAAGAAATTATTGCACGCCGTCGTTTAAAGGAAAATTGTGGTGAGGCAGGAGAATCAGTAAACGAAGACCCTGCACAACTTAAAAACCCCTCCACATTCTCTCCACTATTGCTATCATCATCTAAAATAATTGAAACATCTTGCTTTTCTTCATTTTTGGATAACTTTCTTTTAACAGATAATGGTGTAGTTGTTATTTTAGGTTTATTTGTTCCATTAGAAATTTTTGGGCTGTTTTTGTTTGAAGGTGTTGTTATCTCTTTTTTAGTAGGAATATTTTCAAGATCATCAATCGCCTGAAAAATTCTTTTCTCAATAGAAATTAATAATAATGTTATTTTCTTAATAAAAAATTAACAAACCTCATCATTCACTTTATCTTTGTCTCCATGAATTGGTGTTATTTCATCAGATTTTTCAGTTTTTGGCGTTTTTTGAAAGAATGTAAACAAATTACTTTGACGACCACTACTTTTCTTCTTTGTAGACATATTTAACTTGTAAAAATGAAACCACCTAATTGAGGGAAAAATAAGTTTTTTATTTATAAGTATTCTAATGCCAAAAAATAAGGCAATTTATAAAAAGTCTAAATAAAACAGTACAAAAATATAAGGTTTACAACATGATTTAAAAAATTTTATATAATTTAAAAAATTAAAAAAAACAATGCAGAAAGATTAAATTAACAAAATAGGTCATATAATAATTTCAAACAATTCGAGATCGAAGTTGAAGCAAAAGTGAATTTGTTGAAACAGGAAAACGAAAAGGTATTTGTGCTGTGTAAAGAATCAATGCTTTTGCATATTGTTTAAGTAATAAAGTTTCCGGTGAGCCTCTAGGTGCTGATTCGTGTGCACTCACAATTGAACGCATTAATTGAGAGCAAATATCTGGGAGAAGTGGGCGAATCTGTGAAGAATTAAAATAATGGCATTAAAGGACATAAATTGTAGAAAATTCAAATACAGGAAGGAAGAAGTTGGTTAAAAACGGCAGGGACATGATATCACTATAATTCAGTCGTGAGGGAAGAGGGCGAAATGGAAATATCTCCAATTCCAAAAAGAATTCATGCCTCAAATGAAATATTAAAAACACTCCAACTTTAGTATTTTTCCTTTTCAATTAAAAATTTTAATACCTCATCCGCCACCATATGAAATTGGTCTACAGCAGCCGAAACATCTTCAGGATCAGTTGGAATAAATTTCATTCGATGAAGTAATAATTCAATTGCTTCACGATGTTTGCCTGCTTCAGCATCAAAGAAAAATGTGTACAATTCTAGAAGACGGCATAAAGTTTGGTATAAAAAGCTTTCTCTGGTAGAATCTATTCCATATCGGCGTGCTAACCATTCGGCACATTTAACTGATTGAATTGCTTGTTCAGTAGATGGATTAGAAATATATTTTGAAAGTTGAGTAGAAGCAAGTTGAATAGCATCATCTGAACGCTAAAAAGGAATAATAACACTTGTTTTTTTTAAATTTTTTTCTAATGTACACAAATAAATTTAGTTTGCATAAATAAAATTCCACATATTCCCTGTCCCCATAAAAGAATTAAAAGTCAATGTTTTGGTAATGTCGTATAATATTCTTGAATTTAAAATTATTCCAAATTTCGAGTACAAGCCCCAGTAAATTCTGACAATTTGAATTTCAAAGTTATAAAAACTCAAAAAACACAAAAAATATTTCTTATAAAAAATTTTAAATAAATACATCAGAAAGAGCATAAAGTTGACAAGCACACAAAGGATCTCCTTCAATACTAATATCAAAGGCAACACGACCAATTACATCTTTAACATTTAAACTTCCAGAAAATTTGTCGATTAAACCAGGCATGCGTTCATCTTGTTGATTAAAATGTCCAAGGATGGTGTCGCGCTCATCTTTGTTTAGAAATACCAATCGACTGACACAGGCATCAAATACAGATCTACCAGTAGCGGTGGAAACTGCAAAGAAAACATGAGATTAAAATGGTTATTTTATATTAGATTGAGATCTCGTAATGGAAATTTTTGAAAGAAATTTTAAAAAAACCACAAAAGATAATTTTTTAATTTGCAAATAAACTAGTCAATTTTAAATATTTAAAAATAAATTTCAAAAACCATTTCCGTCAATTAAATTTTCCAACTGAAAGTCGCGTAAGAAAAAACAATAATTTAGAGCATAAGCAGTATTGGTCAATTCAAATTCTTTAACATATAACAAAACCAAACGAGCCAAATTAAGTTGACAAATACTTGGTTCATGCACGTCTTGAACTACTGAAATTTTGTCAAATATAATAAAAATTTTAAATAAAATTTTGTAAATCGTTAAAAATACCCACAAATATCAGCACTCGAAACACTATCAGTACACAATAAAACACCAATTTGTTGAGCTAACAATCCTATATGAACAGCGTGAACTGAATATTCAGCAGATTTGTGTAAAATAAAAATTGCACGTTCAATTTGACCAGTTAGAAGAAGAACAGCAAAATAAAGAAGATGACTACCTCCTTCGACAACAAAATAACGTTCACCTTAATAATTAAAGTATTTTAATGATTTAAGAGCGAGTTGTGAGATTAATGGCTAGTTTAATAGATGACAACATTTTGAATTTCCTTATAGTAAACAGAGACGTTTAAAATTAACTCATTTTTCTCATTTTAACGATTTCTGTCCGTGGGAGTGATTTAAAACATGACCGGAAATGGTTTTACAAAAATTATTATCAAACCATGTTGAGCACAAATAGTAGTTTGTAATTGTCTAAAAGCACGTGTTGATTCCTGTGCCCATTTACAAGAAATTAATCTAGCCCAAAGCCAATCCTCAATTGTTGTGTTAACAGTTGGGCAATCAAAGCCTAGAAATAAACCATAAACAGCACTTTTGTAATCATCAGTACAAGTTTGAGAATTTTGTTTCCATTCTGCACGAATTTTTATTCTTCTTTCCTCATCAATACTGAAAAATTAAAAATGAAAAGCTAGGAAATTATCAAAAATGCGGTTTTAAAATAAAATTCTAATTTTAATTTGCAACTGCCAGATTCAAAAAAAATAATCGAAATTTAAAAGAAAACCTGGTCAGTTTCGGTAAATTCGACAGAACACCAACTAGAGCGGAACATTGAGCATTATTTGCCAATCCATCAGCTACTTTAGAAGCTCCAGCAATATCGCCAATGCGAAGGCAGTAAAAGAGGACAGCCCATTTAGGATGAGAACCATGAAGACCATCCTAAAGATTATTTCTTTCAAAAAAAGGATTAAAAATAACCTCATATTTAAATTTTGCAGGCAGCCTTTTAACCTTCAAAAAGGCCTCAATAAGAGAAAGCGTTCCTGGAACTCCTCCACGGGAAGCAGTTGATAAATTTCCTTCAACAGTATTTTCCATGTATGATTTAAATCTTAAAAAATTTTTATTATTTTCAATTAAAATAAAAATTTATTTAAAGTGGAGGGGGATTTCTCATTCAATGCTAGAAATATCTATTTGTTATAATCCCAATAGAAAAAATAAAGTAGTTGTCGAAAATGAAAAAACAAGCTAGCGAGGAGTAAGAATAAAAAGATAAATCTTTGGAGTTCAAATGATAGTGAGAAAATAGCTATGTATGAAAAAACAGTAAGTTATAAAACTTTTTGAAAACCGGATAAACTCAACCAAAAATATAATAATTAAACATACTCGTCCTGCAAGTACTTTGATCCAGAATTAATTAAATTGTCAAGCCAACGCTTTTCCGAACGCAATTCCCTAACATTTTGATTGGCTCTAGACATCCGTGATTCAGGTAAAATAGCAAATACTTTTGACCAAATATAATTTGCTTCACGAGAATTTAATTTTTCAATAGCTTTATTAATTATTGGGCGTAATTGGGAGTTGCTATCCTGATAGAGTGCTTTGTCTAGCTGTAAAAAGAAAATACAAAATTAAGGTAAAAAGGTATTGTTTGTTTAGTTAAAATAGCTGTGTGTGAAAGAATAATGAATTCCTGGTCAATACAGCAATTTCTGAAAACACAGAAACAGAAAAATCCCTCTCAAGACATATTAACAGCTTAAAAATGTCAAACCTCCTTAGCAAATAATTCTTGTTCATGTGCAAGCGGAGCACTTGGTAAATTCCCAATACTTTTAACTTTTTTAGTAAACAATGATTTTCCTTCTAAAGTATTCTCTTTGCCTATTTGTTTTCCTCTTCTTGGTGAGAATAAATCAGATGTTGAGGAAATACCTCCACTTGTTCGTTCCAATACTTGTTGATTAAGAAATGAACGTTCAGTTGCTATTCGTGCTCTTTCAAAGGCCCTTTGTACAAGTTTGTCAACTTCATCGCTTTGAGTTTGATCTGAGCCTAGATCATCGTAAACACTAAAATAAAAAAGGAATTCATAGAAATTAAATTTTTGATATTAATGGCCGGAAATAGATTTTATGTAAGAAAATAACTCGATAAAATTTTAAAAATTTACATTTGTTGCTTCTTCTCCGCTGCCAATTCTTTCCCTTGTTGAATATTAAGTCGAGTACTGTTCAGTTGATTTTGATCTTTAATTGTTCTCAAAGTTGCATTCATTCCAACAATTGGTTTTAATGTTTGTTTTTTATTCCAAATTTCTTCACTTCTTTTAAAAATATCATCTAAACTTGTCTCGATAAATGCTGGAGTTGAATAAACATTACTGCCAGAAAATTGAGATGAACGTAATTCAGCTGGATCACCAAAACGGAGGTCAGCAGTTAATTTATTTGCTCTTTGTTGAATTTCATCAAAAGAGCCCATTTTATTTTTCAATGTAAAAAATTATTTAAATTCTGAATCAAAAATAAGAAAAAATTTTAAGAAAAATAAAAATGTGGTCAAAATTACATTATGCCTTTAGAAAAAACATTCAAACAATAAAATCAAAATTTTATAAAATGCTACTGAATATTAAAAAAATTTAGAAAAAAATTTTATAAAAATTAATTATCGTATGTCTAATTATTATTTTGTCATAACCTCCTTTATTTTTCATTTACATACTAAAAATCATTCATTCACTTCATTAATGCATACATAAACACTCCAGCAGCTGCCACACCAAAAATGGAGCGAATAGCATGGCGCGAATTCCATTTGGATATTAAAGTACGTGTTCCAGGTCCAGCCTTTTCATTGTCAGTTGCATTAAGACGTTTATTGATTGGCTAATAAATTTAAATCAAGAATATTTTTAATCATTAAAGCATTTTTAAAATTCCAAAGAAACCACAATTTCCCATTTATATATTTTAAAATTTAAACCATAATGAAGATGAACGTATATGGCAAATTAAGAAACATTAAACCAGCTCCAAGCAGCCAAATTTTGTCTCCAGTACGATAAGTCATTCCAGTCCCAACAAAGCTAGTAAAAAGTGCAAGTGATGCCTAAAAGACTAATAAATTTAAAAAAATAAATTTATAACCTGAATAGGTGCTGCACGAGAATACATTGCTTTCCAATGTTGTAAAGCACTTGAATCATCCAAAGTTTGCAAAGCCGGATGTTCAACGGCATTTACATATAAAGCTATAGAAGCAAATGCTGTCGACCCAGCAAGCGCTACAAATTTACTAAACTGAACACATCGGCATTGTTCAGTGTAAATTGGAGTCGTATAGTATGACATATTTTGAGAACTGAAATGAAAAAAAACTTTATCTCAAAAAATTAGGAAGCTTACAATTAGGGTTGCCGTTTTCGAGTCGGGCCGACGGTCGAGGCATTTTTTTTCGGGCTTGTTTTTATCGAGTCGGGCCGGTACGAGTCTTTTTCGGGCCTTACTTTATCGAGTCGGGCCGATACGAGTCTTTTTCGGGCCTTACTTTATCGAGTCGGGCCGGAACGAGTCACTTTCGGGCCTGACTTTATCGAGTCGGGCATCGAGACATTTTCGAGTCTTTTTTTAAAAGATTTATTTAAAAATAATTAGTGGATTTGGAGGGATATCTGTGAATTAAAAGGTATATCGATGGATCTGGAAGGTAAAGGAAGGGCTGAAGAGAATTGAAATGGATATCAGTGGATTTGAGGGATTAAGGTGATTTAAATGATCGGAGGATTGGTGTGAGATATTGCTAGATTTGGTTTTATTAAAGGAGATCAGGTAATTAAGGGGATCAGGATCGCATATCAGATAATTAAGGTGCTATATTGTAATGGGATTTAAAAGGATTGAAGAGATTTGAATGGATATCGGAGATTTGAAGGATAACGCAAGATTTAAGTGATATCGTGCGTTAATCACCAAATCCCTTAATAAAATCCCAGTGTACCATGATTGAACTATTCGGATTTAGATAAGGGCTTACTGAAAAGTCAGGAAACCAGATTTCTTCTATTTTTAGCGCCGCAGGCGAAAACTTTGAGAATTTTGGACCCCTGGATACGCCCTTGACTTAATCACTCAAACCGCCTTATATTCCCAGATTACACCTTATATCCCGGATGGTGGACTGCGGATTGCGTAAGATTGTGTGTTTTTGACTCGTGGACTGAAGATTACGACTGTGTATTTTGGAGTTAAAATTGCGGACTGCGGAAAATTGTGGACTCTCAAAACTGATTGAGTTTCGAAAGTTCAAATGATGCTGGGATCCCGCGGAATATATCCTATAAATCCCAGTAATCCAGCTTATCGATTAAAGCCAGTAAGTTCGAGATGTAAAGCAAAGTATGGAGCTAAAATTCTTCATTTCAGCGCCGCAGGCAAAAATTTTGAGATATTCGGAAGGCTAAGGACCAAATTTCTTCTTTTTTCAGCGCCGCAGGCGAAAATTTTCCGAATTTTGGAAGGCCAAGGAGCCAGATTTCTCCCATTTTTGTCCACAAATCTGGTAAAAATATTATCGAGTCTTGTTCGAGTCGGGCCGACTTTTTCCGAGACAATTTTTTTCGGGCCTGTTTTTATCGAGTCGGGCCGGTACGAGTCACTTTCGGGCCTAACTTTATCGAGTCGGGCCGTTACGAGTCTTTTTCGGGCCCAAATTTATCGAGTCGGGCCGGTACGAGACTTTTTCGGGCCAAACATCGAGGCATGACTCGATCTTTCGGTCCGAGTCGGTCCATTTTGGCAACCCTACTTACAATTAATCAGAAAATTTTAAAGCAAGTTCAAAATTTCGCAGGGGAGATTTTGTCATTTTTTACTAAAATTGGCATTGTGTTCTAAAAGCGAAATTTCTAAAATTATTTTGGATTTTTCAAAATTCTCATCATTTTCATAATTTTTCTGAGCTAATTTAATTAAAAATTTATTTTCAGTTAAGAACTATTTCAATTTAAGCATTTAAATATGTATTATCGTGACAGCCGTGTTGATGAATGTAATGATGATTGGAAGAAATTGGCAAATATGGATGATACTAAACAAGAATTTATATTTCCGCCACTTGGGATTAAGGTTTTTAAATTAGAAAAATATTTAAACAAAAAATAAATTTACTAAAAATTTCCATTAAAAATATTTTCCTCTTATTTTTAGCCAAAAGTTTTTGTCAATCACCATTTTGGTCCAAATTCTAAACTTCCTATGGCTCAATTCAACAAAGGTACAACAACGTTAGCATTTCATTACAAACCGAAGACTCCGAATGACAAAGGCGGAGTTGTGATTTCTGTCGACTCTAGAGCTTCTGGTGGAAGCTTTATTAGTATGTTTTTTGCTTTAAACTTTCACACTTATTTACTAGAGATGAAATTTTTGAAAAGCCTGGGCCTGTTTCTGGATTCCAGGTTTGATTTATTGACCTGGGCCGGATCCTGGGCCTGTAGTCCAGGAAAAACCCAGGTTTTGGTCCAGACCCAGGCCGATCTCTATTATTTAACAAGCTGATTTTTGGGGTAAAAATTTATAAAATGATAGCTATTCGAGATAGCTCGTTTGTCGTTAATAAAATAATTTTTAATTCATTTTATCTTTTTTAGTGTGCAAGGACGTCAATAAGATTTTGCCAATTAATGAAAGAATGGTTGCAACAATGGCTGGTGGTGCTGCCGATTGTCAATATTGGATTAGTGTAGTTACTAGATATTGCAAGTTTGTTTAGGATTTTTATGAAAATATTCATTAAAAAATTTTTTGAAGTTTGTTTGAACTTCGTGAAGGAAGGCCAATAACTGTTTCTGCAACGTCCAAATATCTTGCTAATATTATGTATAGCAACAAAAATAATGGGCTTAATCTGGTAAATTTAAAATTTTGTTTAAAATATTTAATTTCTAGGGTTCGATGGTTGCCGGTTATGATCATAAAGGGCCCTCCATTTATTTGGTTGACAGCTCTGGAATGCGTTGTAAAGTGCCCGATTTTGTTTCTGTTGGTTCTGGGTCATTAAATGCTTATGCAGTTTTGGATAGCCGTTATAAAGAGGAAATGACAGATGAGGAGGCTATAAAGCTGGGGAGAGAAGCAATTATGCATGCAACCTATAGAGATTCTGGTTCTGGAGGATCTAATCAGGGTAAGGGATTTTTTTAAGTTCCGGGAAATTTTTCCATGTTTTGTATATACTAATTATTTTTTAAAATTTTTAGTGCTTCTTATTACTAAAGAAGGTAAAACGAAATTTCCACTTATGGATGTTAGCGATATGTATTATGACTTTGCTAAAAGTAAAGGAATTGATATCTACAAGTTAATGGATAAAATGAATTAAAATGGAAGTATAATTGATGAATTTATTTTGTTTTAATGACTTTGTATGGAGATTTTGGGAAATATTTGTGTTAAAAAATTTCAGCTTTTTTACTCGTAAATTTATTTTAATTAAAAGTTTACCTTTTTGTTTTTTCATGATAAAAGAATCTTTGGTGAAGATAGTTAACTGACAGGGGAACATCGTTTACTATATCTGCGAATTTGGTATATTTTTGGTACCATTCGATAGAGGACCCTCGGCTTTCTATTGCGAAGTGATATTCGTTTTCTTGCAAAATGACTTTGGGCCGAGTTACGGCCATTCAAAGTCCCAGTACTTTGGAGTTAAACCAAGAAAATAATTTACCAATCAAATTCCGGATTCAGACAAAACAGCTTAATGAAATCCGCTGATGGATCTGTTTTAATTTTTAAAGAGCGTTGGAGGTTATAATCGTTAAGCTAAAATATAAAATTTTGTTATCAATCATGAAGGTTTAAAATTGAATTTTATTAATTTTTATTTTAAATAAATTCAAAATACCTAACAAATTAAAACAAAAAAAATTCAAGAAACTTGAAATAAAATAATCGTTACATCATCCGGTTTACCTCCAGGAGCTTTAATTCCATGTTTTAATGCTCTTTGTGTAAAAGGCGAAATATAATTTTCATCAGCCGATAAGTGTCTGGCAATTAATGCTAAAGAATTACAACGAGCTTGAAGTGAAGCTTGTGAAATTTTTGGTTGTTGGGTTTCTTCTTTCTCATTATTTTCATCCTCATCTCCATATAAAAGTCTAGCGATAGTTCCAATATGGCAATTATCCCATAAACCATCAGTTGCTTTAAAATAAAGAATTTTGTAGAGATTGGATCTTTTGTGTAATTAAATCAACCATAAAGGATACTATTTATGTAATTGAATGTGGAGGGGTGTTGGGGATTTTTTATATACATATTAAATATTTTAATAAAAAATCCTGTCCCAAAAATTCTGTTCTCTTTGAATAATCCGGAAAAAATCCTCACAATCATATCTTTTTCTGAATTATACATCATCACAATTTTTGAAGGCTCGCCAAAACCGTTTTGGAAGAATTTTTTAAAATTAAATCCAGCTGAAGTCTTGCCAAAAAAAGTTATTTTTATTCTCATCACAAAAATAGTTTTTTGTGTTTAAATAAAATTTAAAAAATAACCCATTAAGATGAGATCTCCAGATTGCAATTCATGTTCCCTCAATTCTGAACATTCTGGTTTGTCTAATAAAAATGATTTCTTTTCGTTGAGCATTTGTTCTAAATTTTTAAATATTTTTTAAAAAATAATTTTAAAAAACCTGGAAGTATTGTAAGTTGATATGGAGCATTAAAATAGTGTGTCTGTTCTGGTGAACGAAAAATTACTTTTCCACCACGGCAAATTAAATAACCAGAATCGCCTTTAAAAATAATTATTTTTAAATTAGAGTTCATAAAGCTTTTTTATCAAAAAAAGACTGGAATTTTTTAAAGAAAATATTCCTTTAAAGAAAAAAAACAAACAAACCAAGGTTAGCAGAGTACAATCTTTTTTTAGTAATTGTTAAAACACAAGCAGTTGAAGAACTATTAAAATATAAAATTTAAATATATTTTTAATTAAAATTCAAACCCAATCGGCCTCTGATTATTTAACATTTTTAATTTATTATAAGCACATTCAATTATTAAATCTGGACGTGTACACTCAAAATCCCCAGATTTTACAATTCCAGCACAATTTGACATTAATTGAGCAGCAAACTGGGAAGGATCAACACCGTGCCTTCGCCAACCCCCAACACCATCGGCAATACCTTCAAAAAGAAAATTAAAATAAATATTTTAAAAAAACCTGCAACATAAGTATTTTCATGGCTGGCAATAAAACAAGCTTAAAATTTAAAATAAGGGTTAAAGTATAACGTTAATATATACCATCATCTCCATAAACATCTCGTTCACATTGCTTTTGTTGTTGTAGTGCTTCAGATTGTGAACCCTTAAATTTTTGAAAATTCAGGATTTCTTTACAAAATATGAGCAATTTAAAGGCTAAAACTAGGGTTATTGGCGACCGGTTATTAACCGGTACCCCCCGGTTTTCGGTTAATCAAAATTTTATAAACCCGGTTTTTGGTTTTGAGTTTCAGGCAAATACGGGTTTATTTTGGTGGGAATTTTTAATAAAATCACACATTTTAACAAATTTTCGGTTTTTTAAATTTTCTACTGTTAATTTTCGACAAAAAATTTCAAAAATTCCGGTTTAAAAACCGGTCGCCAACAACCCTAGTTAAAACAAAAAAAACCCACAAAAATCTAATTTTTACCCAAAATATTCTCTTTAATCTTCTAATTAAGAAAAAAACCTGAAATTCTTTAGGTATTCCACATTTTGTAACATTAACCACCCATTGCTGCTGTTCTTCCTGTTTATTTTGTAAACTTTCTTCCTTCAATAAATTCTGTTTATTTTGTCCAGATATCGGTATAGAACAATAATTAATTGAAGAAAATAAATTATTATTTAAATTCTGTTGTTTGTGAGGGCAAACTGCACGCAATTGAAATGAAGCAACTGAGACAGGCAATGAAGTTGTTGACTTCCCTCGACGTCCACTGCTTTCAACAGCTACTGGAGATCCTAGCAACACCAAACGAGAAGCTGCTGATTTTAACATTTTCTAAATATTAAAAAATAAGAGATAAAGAACAAATGCAGGGCAAAAAAATTCTCATTTCTGGGTAAAATTACAAAATGATCAAAACCTATCTTTTCGACTATTAATAAAGTGCCCATTTAGGTCAGTTGTCCAAGCTTCAGTCTTGGGCAACCTAGTTATTGACTCGTCTAGTTTGGGTCAAGTTAATTCAATCAAAGTATGAATAGATTTCTCGTAATACTGACTAGCTATAAAAACACAAAATATTTAAATTTATTAATTTTTAATGTTCTCATCAACATAATAAATTAATATAAATAAAAAATGAAATGATTTTGGAATAAACATAAAATCAAACAAAAAATTCTTCAAATATTTCTTCAAAGGAAATATTTGTAAATAAACATTATAAAAAAGAAGAAAGCAAAAACAATGTAAATTAGCATTGGTAAACGTGCAAATTGACGAAGATTCAAAGTTGATTGTTGTTTGGGTACTAAACGAGCAAATACAGGCACATAACGTGGAGGTGATGGGCCGCTAAGTAAAGCTAGAAAAGAAAATTATTAAAAAAAAGATATAAAAATAAGCTCATTTCATATTTAAGAAAAGATCTAAAAATAAGCTCAAATCCTTCTCTATCATCGCTACGTTCCTAGGATGTGCATATGAATGACCCATCCGGGACGATCAAAACTAAGAAAATAAAAAAACCTTTAGCTGCAATCCGAGTAATTGCTGAGTCTTGTTTATGTTGACGTAGATATTGCACCAATCCACTATTAGTCCAACGAATACTCAATCTGTGCAGCCATCGAGCTAAAGGACCAATATCCCAATATCCAATAGCTGGAAATGTGTCAGCTATTTGACGAGAATATTTAGAATAGTCAAAACGTGCCTGACGTTCAAGTACCTATTTTTGTATTTCAATAAACAAGTATCAACATCTTTATTACCTGTAAACGTCCATGTGGTGTTAAAAATAGCATTTTTGTCCATGGATCAACCTTTAAAAAATTAATTTTAAAAAATCCTTTTTCAAATTAAACCGAATGATCTGGATCCTCTGGACGAAGTAAAGAGTGTTGTGAAGGTTTAATTTCTTCTTTAGATTGAAATAAACTACTAATATCACTTTCTTCTCTAAAAATTTTTCTTCTTCCACCCATTTTTTCAATTAACCAATTTATTAATCTTTGAATTTCAATTATTTGACGTTCCAATAATTGCATATCAATCGGTGGAGTTTCTGTGATATTAAATATCCAACGAAAGAAAAGTGCCCAAAATGTGCTTGATTGGTGTTTTTGAATCTATTTTTTAGAAAAGATAAAATTGTATAAAGAATAATTTAATTTAAGTATCCAAAGCTAAATTTGAAATTTCTCTCGTTTCATGGGAATTTAAAGAAATTCGACATTTTGTCCCAGATTCTTAAATAATGAATTTAGAAAATCCCAACCTTTTTACATTTATTCTGGTATTCATCCCGATAACGAACAAGTTTAACCACAATAGCTCGTAGATACTCCAAAGTAGGTAGGTCATGTTGTTCAAATACTCCAATGAGCGGTTCATTTTGAAAAACCTCAGTTTTGAGAAAATCCAAAACAGGGGTTTCAATAATCTGTGCACAGCCAGAATCCAAAAGTCGACGTATTTGTACTTCAATTAATTCAACAAAATAATTAACTGATGATTCAGAAAAGAGACGGCGTTTCTCATCAGAGCATTTCATCTCCATTAGAGTTCCATTTTGTTTTTGGCGATGTGTAAATGTCAGATTTGGAGAGACGAGGACAAGCCAGATATCTAAAAAAGAAAGATTTAGAGGAAGTTAAGACCAGATTTTAGAGATTTTTTGCGGATAAAATATTTATAGTGAAGTAGGAAAAATACATTTTAAAGAATTCTTACAGAATTATTCTTCTCTATACCAAGTTAACAAAAAAATTCTCTAAAAAATGTTTAAAAGAACAAACCTATAAGTAAACAATAACTATCGCCAAGTGGCCAATTTTTTAGTAATCTTTCCAAAAAATTATGTAATAAAGCATTAAATAAAGGTTTTCTAAAAGTAAAAAAATATATTTACAAAATTGATGTTTAGGAAAACCTGAGCAAAAGAAGTTTGAGAGAACCAAATTCTGCATCCTCCGTTTCACTCAAAATAAACTCATTGTAATGATTGAGGACATTACGAAGAACTTGGAATTGTGCAACACTGGGCCAATCTATTTAAAAATAAATTTTTGCTTATTTCAGATGTTGTATTCTAGTTTAAAATTATCGAAATTCTCATTCTATATATTTTATTCTTACTTGAAAGAGAAGCCAATTGATTAACAATACCAACAACAAATTGTAACATTCGTGGGTAAAGAGTACGAATAGATCCAGAACGTAAAGGAATATGTTCTAATGGCGAAGAGGCAGCCAAAACTTCAGGTCGAAGTAAACGACGTGGAGAAGTCACGGGAGATGTAGGCATTTGTGAAAGAGAAGAAGACGAAGAAGACGCTGATAAGCCCCCACCAGAAAACCAATTTCCACTTTTAAGTTGTGCTAAACGTTGTTCATCAATTGGTAATAAATATTGTAAATATTGCTTTAAAAGCCACATAAAAACTGAAAAAATGAAAGGAGCAAATATATTAAATTTAAGGAAAACTAATGACTACAAAACATTTAATTTTTGGTTGAAAAGTTAAAATTTAAAAGACAAGTATAAAAATTGCTTATTATCAGTGAAAAAGTGAACGAATAACTAACTAAACTTTCAGTTTCAGGATCCGAAACTCTTAAAATTCAAAAGCAATTTACATTTTCAAATTCAATTTTTGGGGAATGCTTATGAAATGTATTTTATCCATTCAGTAAATTCTACAAAAAAACTTACTACTTTCCGAAGCATCATAATTATTTGCTGTTGAACGTATACAATGACGACAGAATGTATCAATAAATTCATTAAAAAGAGTATCATTCGAATAAATTGACTAAAAATATTTTTTAAAAATTCTTTAAAATATCCAAACCATAAAAACAGTAGATTCAAACCCAACAAGAGCATTTAAACGATTTAAAGCATCAGCATGAACAGTATCAGCCCTTGGTTTGATTAACAATAAATCTAATGAAGGATCAGCAAAAATTTGTTGAATGACTGTTATGGCAAATTCATCCTAAAAATTTATAAAAATCCTTTTAAAATCCTCTTACTCTGTCAGTATATCTAGGCCTAATAGCAATTAATTCGTTGCATAAATCAAATAGAGATCTTGCATTATTTGAACTGTAAGTAAAATCCACCATATTTAACTAAAAAATGAGTAAAAGTAAAAATTAAATCAAAAAACAAAAAGCTGATAAAAGTATTTTTAGGCATAAACTTGAATAAAAAAGACTAAATCTTTTAAATAAATTTAATAAATTAATGCAACAAATAATCGATTTAAATTGTTTCAACTGTGTTTTTGTGTTATTTATTTTTGCTTTCTTCCTCAAAAAAGTCAACATCAAATTGAAGCTCGTCGTAAATTGCACAAAAGCATACTTCTTGCATTCTCTCCAGCAATTCTTAGATATACCGAACAATTCAAGCGATAACATCGGAGTTCAGGTGTTTCTTTATACAGCTCACCAAATCCTAGTGCTGCACCAAGTACCAAATCATCTGATGTTACCCTATAATCCGACCATGCAAAATCCTCGTCACTATTAATTAATTGACAGCGTAGTCCAATATTATCTTGGCATGACACGCCACCATTAATAACAACCTCTGGAAATTTTCTCTGAAGAAAGGACATTAATTTATAACTTGAAGTTAAGTCGTTCAGGCAATTCTCATAGTTAACTTCATAGCCAATAATCGGAAGTATTTTCCATGTAGGATTCAATATGTCTTCATCTAGCTGACGACCTTCTTGTTCGGCTAAATCCTTCATTTGTTGAATTTGCTCGGGCGGATAACGAATTCGATACAAGTACTTCATGTTACAATCACGTTGGAAATCAATCCGCTTGCCGTCTGGTAACTTAAAGTCGTATGGAATTGGGAAGCAATCATATTTATGTGATTTTGAAGGAAATCGGCTAGTACGACCAATAGCATCTATAACTAGTTGTTCTAATTGAGTGATGAGACGTTTATGGGGATGCAGTTCAATGTTGCGCATGCAGAATAATCTGTGGCAATCAACATTGGCGTTGTTAAATTTTGTCATTATTATTGTGCTAAAAATACGCAAATGGGGTTCAATCAGATGTTCAAAATCCTTATCCGGACCACGAATATTCATTGAGTTCAAATGTTCTTTTATTAAAGTTTCATATCCACCGCAAGAATTGGCAAAGACGGCTGTATTATTCATAGCAACGTTGTCTCTTGCCGAGTCCTCTAGCAGTTTTCGAATGATTTTGTTAGTGGAATCTTCCATAATTTACACTATAAATAAAGCCAACAATCACTATCTAAAAAATGAGTATACAAAAAAATGAGTAAAAAACAAAAAAAATATTTGTCAGAAATAACCTTAAGTAAAAACAACTAAATCTTTTAAATAAATTTAATAAAAAAACAAAAATAATCAAAATAAAAGAAATTTAATCAATTTTACTCGTTTCCAATACAAGTTTTTTTACTTTATTATTTTCATCTTCTTCTTCAAAAAGGTGAACGTCAAATTGAACAAACTGCTTTGACTAAATTTAAATTATTAAATTAAATAATAAATGTAATTTCTAGTTCTAAAGCAGGATTTAAACTGATAAACCAGAATAAAATTTAAATATAAAATTAAAATTAGTGGTTAAAAATAGAAATTTTAGGATCGAGTCTAAAAAATAAAGCTTTTAGAATTTTTCAAAAAAATAATTGTATGGGCACTAATATTCATCATTAAACGTTAAAGGAATTGATAAATTATTTTTTGTTAGTCAAAAAATAATCCCACTAACCCACTCCAATATATTCAAAAAAACAAAGAAAAACCTCTTCGTTAAACGACTTTGACTGAAGTTCATCATCAGAATCACAAAAATCCTCATTTGCCACTTCATCAGAATCTTCACTACTACTCGTCTCATTTTCAGAAATACTGCTGGATTCTTCCTCAAATTTTTCAATTAAAACAGAATTCTTCGTTTCTTCATTTTTTAATTTTTCATTTGCTTCTGCAATTTGAGGTAAAAATTGTTTAACTTTATCAAGAATATTTAAAGAAGAATTTTTTGTAACAGAATTATTTGTTGTTGTTGAATTATTATTAAATGACATTTCTAAAAAAATAAAACGAGAAAATAAAAAATGTAAAAGTTATTAAACAAAAATGTAAAAGTTATTAAACAACTCGGGCCTTCGGCCCTCGCAATTCGTTTTGGGATGGATCTTAAACTCGGGCCTTCGGCCCTCGCGATTTGTTTTGGGATGGGTCTTAAGCTCGGGCCTTCTGCCCTCGCGATTCGTCTTGGGATGGATCTTAAACTCGGGCCTTCGGCCCTCGCGATTTGTTTTGGGATGGGTCTTAAGCTCGGGCCTTCGGCCCTCGCGATTCGTCTTGGGATGGATCTTAAGCTCGGGCCTTCGGCCCTCGCGATTCGTCTTGGGATGGATCTTAAACTCGGGCCTTCGGCCCTCGCGATTTGTTTTGGGATGGGTCTTAAGCTCGGGCCTTCGGCCCTCGCGATTCGTCTTGGGATGGATCTTAAACTCGGGCCTTCGGCCCTCGCGATTTGTTTTGGGATGGGTCTTAAGCTCGGGCCTTCGGCCCCCAAACCCGAAATTTCGACCTTTTGTAACTTTGTACAAAATAGTAAGAAAATTTTACAAAAAATATTTTTAAGCTCAGCTCGATGAGAGCTTTCGATTGATATAACATTTGACCTATTTTATGTCATTTTGGAAAAAATAAATTTTTGGCCGAACATTTCGACCGAATAATTCGAGCAATTTTTCAAAAAATCATAACTCCCCAAATATAAACCATTTTGAAACGTTTTAAAAGCTTAATATATAGTAAAAATTCTGCTCTATTTTATAAAAATATATTAAACTACCCTCAGCCTCGATATACCCCAGAAAATTTTAAAAAACCGAAAAAATTTGAATTTTCAAAAAATCGACCCTACCAGGCCTCGGGTGAAATTTTTCAAAAATTTAAATAGCTCAAAAAATTTGTAATTTTTTGCTCTATTTTATAACCTTTAATTCGTTTGGCTACAACAAAAACTTACAAAGTTACAGTCGATTTAAATTTCACTAAAAAATTTCAAAAGGGGTACCCCTTCAAAAATGGGTCAAAAATTCGACCTCGAAAAAAATATGTTATATGGTACTCCAAAGGGTGCTGAACACGAATCTGAAGTCTGTTTATTTTTAAAATTTTTTTAGAAAAAGTTACACTCAAAAAACCGACCAATTTTGACCCCAAAAATGCCACTTTTTGCCCTATAACTTTCCCAGACTCAACTGTACCCCCAACAAAGTATATATTTTTAGAGGTTTCAAGAGACGCTCTACAAGATAGGATACTCAAATCGAGTTTCAATTCACGCGTTAAAAAGTCGGTTTTGGCGAGGTCACTGTGGTGCCCATAACTATGTCAGGAAAAAATCCCAGACTCAAGTGTCCCCCAACAAAATTGTAGTACATTTAGTGCCCTAACATACTAAAAAAGAGTTGAGACCATTCGCCCAATCTTAAGCAATTTTATAATTACATTCGATGGGAGCCACCCTTCACGTTAGGGGTTTTGGACATTTCGGACCTTTGGCGTTTTATAACTTTGCCCAAAATGGTCAGAAAAAATTGAACCAAATTTTTTCAGACCCAACACATGGAGCTCTATCGAATGGCATATAGTTTGAAAATTGTCGGTGAATTTAGTCGGACACCATGTGTCATTTTGGGACGAGATGTGCAATTTTTCCACGAGGCTACAGGTCGGAGAGTTGATCCGAGCCCTCCCAAATTTTTCCTACGATATAGTACACATCCCAACTTAAAATCCTCCCAGCAAGCATTTTTTGATTCAACTTCACCCCTCCGCGCTATTTCCATTTGAAAAACCACCAATGGCCGTTTCAGCGCGAAAAGACGTTTCAGTGCCGAGGTTAGATTTTTCCTGAATAGAGCGTAAAAAGTTGTAGGAGAAATGTACCACTCAAAAAATTCCAGCCGCCGGCCTTCGGCCGGCGGAATTTTTGAAAGGGATTTTACGGCCAAAAAGGGGGAGATGTCGGGGTTTTTTATATATATATATATGTCGGCGGAAAAATTCAGATTTAGGAAAAATTCAATTTTTCCGGAAAATTTCAATTTTTCCGGAAAAATTCAATTTTTCCGAGCATTTAGGAAAATTTCAGATAATAATAAAGATGTCAGTTGAGTCTGGGCTAGTTTTATGTTTTTTTGCGTTTTTATGTGTGTTTTTGTTTTTTAGTGGGTTATCTATAAATTTCTTGATTTAGTCAAGAGCACCATATTAAATAAGTTTGGATTTTTAAAAAACACACGAAAACCAACAACATAAACCTATGGGGAGTCGGCGAGACGCTTGTGCGAAACCCCGCGCTTCGCGCGGGGTTTCGCGGCACGCGTCTCGCGGGAGTCAACGGTCGCTGGGTTCTACAACAGTAACGTAAACCTATTCCTTTGACCGATTTTCAGCATTGAAATGCCGACCTACCCATTCAGTTGTAGCACAAAAATTAAAAAGCACGAACTAAAACCCAAAATAAAAAATAAAAACAAGGGAAAATCTTAAAAAGGACAAACAACAAAAAAACAAACATAAAACAAAAGAAAAACAAACAAGAAAAAACATACTCAAAAAACGAAAAACAAGCGAAATAGTGTAAGACAGACTATTAAATTAATTTAATATCTGAAATTTTCCTAAATGCTCGGAAAAAATGAAATTTTCCGGAAAAATTGAATTTTTCCTAAATCTGAATTTTACCGCCGACATATATAAATAAAATTAATTTTCTAACCTTCTTGACAGTTGAAATCTGTTGATCTATTAGAGTCCTATTTTTACCCCACTCATTTTTATTCCCTTTATATTCTCGGACTCTAAAAGATTTGTCGTTTTTATAATGTTGATCTTTTGGGTTTAGGCTAAAAAGTCCTAATAATATTTTGAAAGGATGCCAATTATTTCAATAAAATTTATTGTCAAAGAACGCCAAAAAATGTTTAATATTCTAAAATCTCTAAATTTTATTTTATATTTTGAGAAACTTGTTAAAATCAATATTCTCTAAATTTAATTTTTTTTGAAAAAATTCCCCTAAATTTCAGTAAAAATTTTCAAAAACAACAAAATAATGGGACGAACAAAATGTGCTGCTACAAGTGAATCTTTAACCCTTAAAGGAGGGAATAAAGGCAAAGGGAAGGATAGAGCTTCACATACTTCTCCAATTAAGACAGGCTTTGATGGGAGAATGGACGCGCCGTGGCAGCGTCAAGTTGCATATTCACTTAGACTTCCATGTACACTTATTCATACTACTTCTAATGGTACAGAAAAAACACCATCCAAGAATGCAACCAATGATCGGGAGAAAGTGAGACAAGTTGGTTTATCTTATTTTTTCCTGAATCCGTAAATTTCGTCCGCAAATCTTTTTTCTAGATTTGCGGACAAAAGTTGCGGACTTTGCCTTCACAGCTATAAATGTAAATTATTTTTAAGGTATTTTGGGCAAAATCACTGGAAGGTCTCTGTGCTATGGTACCTGTAAAAGTTGCAGACAAATTTTTGCCCGAGCCAGGTGGAGCCGGTGGATACATTCCACAACGTTTAGAATTACCCCCAAGAATGGAAATTATGGTTAATTATTTTGGAAAAAATTTTACAAAAAAATTTTTTTAAGGCTCCCTCGTTGGATATAGAAGGAACAGCAGCAACATTTTGTACAGCTTTACATTCTTTTGATATTTATGGGACCGAATTAACTGGCCAAACAGCTACTAGAAAACAAATAGAAGAGAACCCTTTTGACAGTTTAAAATTTAACCAGCCATTTGTACAGGTTTTTATTTTAATTTGTATGCTAATTGAAATTGGTTGAAAAGGTTGAAAATTTCTTATTTTGATATATAAATAGGATTTTTCGACAATTGAGGATTCTCTAAGAGTTTGGGTCTAACTTGTCCCTCCAAATTTTTAAGTGGTGGGATAAATAGCATTTAACTTAATTTTATCTTAATGTGACCAAATACAATATATTTTCTTGGAGAAATCTCTTTTCAGATTCTATTTTAAATCCTCAACATGGACTGGGTTCTAATTTTGTATAGGAGTGTTCAAAATTCTTAAAACCTCTTTCTATTCCTTATAACCCAAAAGGGTTTTAGCATAGAAATTATATTTTTCAAAATTAAACTATATTTTTCAATATTTTTAAAGATTCCTACAATAACCGAGCAAGACATTTCACAACAAGAACGTCGAGTTTTGGATGCTAGAAAACGGCTACAAGAATTAAGAAAATCCTTTGTTATTCGATAAATTTTGTGCTTTTTAATATTTTTTCTTTTTTAATTTTCTGTCTATTCTCTGGATAATATTTTTGATATTTAATTCGAATTTGAAATTAGAAAAATTAAAAATATGATTAAAACGGCATTTGAAGGGCGGAACCTTATTCTATTAATTCAAAAATAACTAAAAATATCCTTCCTTATGGATGTTGAAGCCGTTACCCCTAATCCTTCACTTCACCTTTTACATTATGCTTGCTTTAATTTAACAAATATCAACCGTTTAAGAGATCTAACTATTTCCATTTTTGATAATTAATTACTTTTGTAATAATCTGGATCCTTAACGGTGTGTTGCAAATTTATTAAGATTTCAACAAAATATTTAGGGTCTAAAAACGTGAAAAGAACCCAAAACTCAAAAGAAAAAAAATTATTAAATAAAATTTTAATCAACAAATGGGTGCTAACAATTTTTGAAGATTTTAACATCAAATATTATAAAATCTCCCAACATTCATTTCAACATATTTAAGCCTCATTGTCACTTTCTTCTTCCTCTTGAGTAATTTGGAAGTAGCGCAACTTAAAATTTTTTTTGATTAAATTTAAAAGGGTTCTCATGTCAGGCGGATTAATTCTGATGTGAGGTAAATATTTAAGGAAAGGATTTATGGAATCTATTAAGTTATACCAGAGCCGACAATTTCTCAAATTTGTGGTTTTTATTATTTTTTTATTGAATGTTTTTATAAAGATTTTTCGAAAGTTTGTCTTTACCGTAAAAATAAACTTTTAAAAAATGTAGAAAGATATTTTTGTGTGTAGCCCGACCTAATTCTAAAAGGATTTCCCGATGACCAAACAATCTCAACGATTTTTTTTAATTTAAGAAAAAACCTCATAAGTATCTTTAGCGCTAGCAACAACTCGAAGCCAATCACGCAAAATATTCTTCTTCAAAAACTTTTTGGTAAGGTATTTTAAATAACGCTTAGAAAATGCTGATTCAGAAGTCACAATAACCTTTTTTAAAAAAAAATCGTTTTTAAAAAGAAAAAAAGAAACCCGAGTCTTTGTAGCTTCAACTTTAACTCCTCCAGTAGCGAGTTGATTTGTCTTACCAAAAACTTTGATTCGAGCATTTAAGAATTCCTCCTTAAATTTATTTTTAAAATTAAAACCACAAAATATATAAAAATACATACAAGTGCATTAATCTTCATAATTCCATCCTCAACAGGATTTTTACATTCAATAATAAATTTGAGTGTTTGCTTCTTCTTTTTAGCACCTCCTTTAATTGCCTTACCCCCTTTGCCATCTTTTTTTGTTTTTGGTGCAGCCTTTTTCGGCTTTGGAGCTTTCGCTTTTGTTGCTTTAGTAGCTGTTGCCGTAACCATTTTTTAAATTTAGAATATTAAATTTTTATCTAAACTAAAAATTAAAAGAATAGTTGACAGAATATATCCAAAAAAACATTCAAAAAATTGTTTTTTTGGTCTTTTATAATTCGGCACAGGAAGGTGTACTTTAACAGATTTTTCGCGATCACGTCCCAAAATGTTAGAAAAGTGCTAAAACTATTAGAAATCCATCCCCGTGAAGGAATCCAAAAAAATTTTAGTGGAATCGCCAAGAAATTTCTCTGCATCCCTCAAAATTTTAAATGAACTTTCTCGTTTCGGGTTAGTTGAGCACGGCCGATTCAGCGTCCCCAAAAGCTGGGGAATTAGGATGTTTCCCACTACCAAACTTCCAGCAAAAGAAATTAGTCTATAATTCTTTTAGGAGATAAAAATATGGATAGGTATAGTTTACCAATAACTTTTAAATTATTAAAAATAAATAAAATTTATCAAAACAAATTTATAAAATTTGTATAATTTTTTTAAAGATTTTTCTTAAAATAAAATCATTTTTTAAAACAAAAAGAATTTCTCTCAACTTCAAAAATTTAATTCTCTCAAAATTTACTCATCACTATCAGCCATCATTTTAGCAATAGCCATTTCTGCCAACATTCGAAACACTTTCCTCTTCATTTCTTAAATTAAATGAATAAATATTTTTCGTTTTTGAAGGAAATATATCGAAAAAGAGAGAATATATTCTAAATATTTAATAGAAAAGTTAAATGAAAGTTTAAAAAATGTTCTGACAACATTATTGGAGGAAAATCTCTGGTTGAAGGTAATCTTTAAATTATTTAAAAAATTTACAACCTGCATCGTTATCCTCAAAAACATGAAAATCATCAATAACAGAATGCTTTAAATATCATAAATAAATGGTTTAGCCTTCAAGTTCTTTCCAAAGTTAGTTTCCGCAGAAGAATACTTCAACAAAACAATTGGCTCATATTTTGCAGAATTTTGACTTTCCGTCAACAACAATGCTTTACCTTAAAAATAATTTTAAAACTAAAAACAAAATTTAATTTCCCAAACCAATTTGCTTCCCATTTTGAGTGAAAAAAAGATAAGGCAATTTGTCACTTTTAATAGTTGGTGGATATACAATTCCACAACCAAAAGTGTCCCCATCATTCCAAGAAAATGTATCTGAAACATCAATTTTCTTAATATCTTTATAATCCATATGGTATCTAATGCAAGCAGCTCCAAAATTAAAGAAAACTGCTGATTTCTCTTGATTTTTAACACCAATACTCAACTTATCATTCTTTTCTCCTTCAATTTTGAATTTGACTTCAAAATAAAACAAAGAATAATTAATTTCGTTTTTTGGATCTTTGAATTCGTTTTTAGCAAGCAAAGAAACAGCTTGATCTTTAAAGTAAAAAATATTTTAAAATTTAAAAATTTCAAAGTTATTCTTACCTTTCCCTTTAATACACTGCTCCACATAATTATAAGTCCACCCATTTTTTTCGGGATTTTTTGACTCCCAGTGATCCAAATTTTTTGAAAATTTAGAAACACGCCTTTTAGTGAATAACTAACAAGGTGTGATTCGATTTTTGGCTGAATTTTTATTTAAAAAATTTTTAGACCAAAATATGTGTTTTCGGCCTCCACAAAATTATAAGTCCACTTTTCAAAAAAGATATTTCCAAGTTTAGGAAAAATCTACAAAAATTCTAGCAACAATATATAATGATATTATGAAAAAATAAAAAAGAACTAGACCTATAACTCTACCCGGAGCCGAGATCCTGAGACCTCAAAAATCAACGTAAAACGGGAGTAAGGCTCTTTAAAAAAATTTTTCGACCCCTTATCGATTATTTTCAATTTTGATTTTGGGCTCATTCGACAGCCCTTGAAATTTGCTACAAGATAACATTAATAATATTTTATAGAAAATTCGATTAGAAAGATACGAGCCGTTAATCTTCTGATGCAGCAAAAATCGTCTAAATGCCCCATAAAATGCCCTCTAATGACACCTAGAAAGTTTATCGTCTTGTGACTCTCTATGGAATTTTTCTGAGAAATAAGACCATTGCTATCTTGTAGCAAATTTCAAGGGCTGTCGAATGAGCCCAAAATCAAAATTGAAAATAATCGATAAGGGGTCGAAAAATTTTTTTAAAGAGCCTTACTCCCGTTTTACGTTGATTTTTGAGGTCTCAGGATCTCGGCTCCGGGTAGAGTTATAGGTCTAGTTCTTTTTTATTTTTTCATAATATCATTATATATTGTTGCTAGAATTTTTGTAGATTTTTCCTAAACTTGGAAATATCTTTTTTGAAAAGTGGACTTATAATTTTGTGGAGGCCGAAAACACATATTTTGGTCTAAAAATTTTTTAAATAAAAATTCAGCCAAAAATCGAATCACACCTTGTTAGTTATTCACTAAAAGGCGTGTTTCTAAATTTTCAAAAAATTTGGATCACTGGGAGTCAAAAAATCCCGAAAAAAATGGGTGGACTTATAATTATGTGGAGCAGTGTATATTCAACAATCTCTTCATTAATTAACTTGACCGACCCGCTTCCTTTAACACAAACAGATCCACATCTTTTCTCACAACATTCCATCAAAATTTTCCATTCATTTTTAACTGGCACAAAATTCTAAAGAAAAAAATTTAAATTAATTAATTTTAAACTAACCACTCCCAAATTGTCCAATTTCATAATCCCAGACGACGATTCTCCAATCTTTTTTTTTTCTTTGTTTTCGAGTCCAAATCAGAATTTGATAACCCCTTTTCACTCATTTTAAAATAAAATTTAAATTCTTTTTTAAAAATAACTATCTAAAAATTTAATTAATTAAACGAAATAATTGCCTTTAAATAAAAATTTTGTTAAAATTAACAATTCTAAATTATTCAAAATTCTACAGTCTTTTTAAAATAAATAGAATTTATCAAACAAATTTATAAAATTTGTATAATTTTTTAAAATCAAAGTTGTTCTTAATTTTTCCAACCAAAAATAATATCCAATAAATTTAAAATAACTTCAAAAAAGTTGTCTAATTAGCTAAGAAACATTTTAGCCATAGCTCCCGCAACCATCATTTGCATCATCTGCCGCATGGTATCTTAAATTAAATTTTAGATATTTTTTCGTTTTTGAAAGAATAAATTCAAAATTAATTTTTCTTTTAAATCTTTTAATATTCTTGAAAAATTTACCACTATCGGAATCATCCGAGTCCGAATCATCCCCAGAGTTAGAATCGTCATCATAAAATTCATCAATAACAGAATGCTTTGAAATATCATAAATAAACGGTTTATTCTTCAAGTCATTCCCAAAGTTAGCTTCCAAATGGTAACGTTCCAAAACAACAGATGGATCATAATTATCCTGTTTTTTACCTTTCAATAACAATCCTTTACCTTAAAAATAATTTCAAATTCAAAAAAATTATTTTTAATTTTCACTAACCAATTTGTTTTCCATTTTGAGTAAAGAAAACATAAGGTAATTTATTAACTCTAGTTGGTGGATATACTACTCCACAACCAAAAACATCTCCATCATTCCAAGAAAATGATTCTGGAAGTTTAATGGCCCTATACGCAAAAGAGGGGGTAATCGTTTTTTTTCTTATCTTTTTTCCTTTCCATTTTTCCTTTATTTTTTTCTTTCTTTTTTCCTTTCTAACTTTGACTGCCCGTGTTTTGTCCATCCATGTCCGTCCGTGTTGGTTCTGTCCGTCTTCGTCCGTGTTTTGTCTGTCTGTGTCCGTTCGTGTTGGTTCTGTCCGTCTTCGTGTCTGTATGTGTCCGTCCGTTGTCTGTCTGTGTCCGTCCGTGTCGTGTTTGTCTGTATGTGTCCGTCCGTTGTCTGTCTGTGTCCGTCCGTGTCGTGTTTGTCTGTCTGTGTCCGTCCGTTGTCTGTCTGTGTCCGTCCGTGTCGTGTTTGTCTGTCTGTGTCCGTCCGTTGTCTGTGTGTCCGTCCGTGTTGGTTCTGTCCGTCTTCGTGTCTGTCTGTGTCCGTCCGTTGTCTGTCTGTGTCCGTCCGTGTCGTGTTTGTCTGTCTGTGTCCGTCCGTTGTCTGTCTGTGTCCGTCCGTGTCGTGTTTGTCTGTATGTGTCCGTCCGTTGTCTGTCTGTGTCCGTCCGTGTCGTGTTTGTCTGTCTGTGTCCGTCCGTTGTCTGTGTGTCCGTCCGTGTCGTGTTTGTCTGTCTGTGTCCGTCCGTTGTCTGTGTGTCCGTCCGTGTTGGTTCTGTCCGTCTTCGTGTCTGTCTGTGTCCGTCCGTTGTCTGTCTGTGTCCGTCCGTGTCGTGTTTGTCTGTCTGTGTCCGTCCGTTGTCTGTGTGTCCGTCCGTGTCGTGTTTGTCTGTCTGTGTCCGTCCGTTGTCTGTCTGTGTCAGTCCGTGTTGGTTCTGTCCGTCTTCGTCCGTATTTTGTCTCTGTGTCCGTCCGTGTTTTGTCTGTCCGTCTTCGTGCCTGTTTTGTCAATCTTTTCATTTAAATATGCCACAGGGAAATTCATTGGAAGTAAACAGAGGAAAAAGTCTGACCATAATGTACAAAATAATGAAAAATATGGAAAGGAAAAAAGTAAGGAAAAAAAACGATTACCCCCTCTTTTGCGTATAGGGTCAGTTTAATTTTCTTCATTTTCTTGCTTTGTCTGCATGCTATAACAGAACCATCAACATACAATGCAATTCCATATTTTCCATTTTTAACACCGATAGCTAAAAGGTTGTTATTTTTCTCTCCTTCAATTTTACATTTAATTTCGAAATAAAACAAAGAATAATTAATTTCCTCCTTTGGATTTTTAAATTCGTTTTCTGCGACAACAATAGCATGTTTATTTTTTCCTGAAATAGTTGGATTGTATAAACAAAGTGAATTTGAAAAATCTGTTGATTTACAAGAGCAAACTCAGGAAGAATTGTTAGAGTATCCCCGATGTAACTAAAATCTTTCTTTTCTGTAAACTTCCAAAATATACACCTACGGTACTAAAAATGAGTTAAAAAGCAAAATTATGAGCGAACAAAAAATGGCGTTCGGAACACAAAAAGTCCGCGGAGGCCTTATAACTTTGTCAAATCGAATTTAGTTGATTTTGGTGTCAATCAATTCAGCTCGACGAGCTCTTTCGAATTAGCTATTATTTGCATATTCGAATTTTTTTTTATCACAAAATGAGCTTGGTCCATCCTATTGTTTTTAGATTTTCAATCAATCGTATTGAAAATACTTAGGAATGGTATACATATCGAAGGGTTTTGGAGTGGGCCACCAGCTAAAGTATATCCCAAAAGGGTTGCATTAGAGACCGGACCGGGATCTCGATGCTCGTATAACACTCCTTAACCAGTCTTTATTTTACCTTCTCCAACAATATATTTAATATTTTCGTCATCAACTAAATTAGCAAATCCATTTTCTTTAATACAAGTCCCAACAGGTTTTTCTGTATTAATACATTCATTGCCACAACACTTATTTTCAATGCTACTCCATTTATTCTTAACTTGAATAAAATTCTAAAGAAAATTATTTAATAATTTTAAATTTAATTTTAAACTAACCACCCCAATATTGCACAATTTTTTAATTTCAGACGTCGATTCCCCAATCTTTTGCTTTTCCTTTGTTTTAATTTCGTTAATTTTCTCATCAATTAATTGTTGAAAATATTCTTTTAAATTTTTAATTTCATTTTCATGTTCCAACTTGAGTTTTTGAATTTCCTAAAAATTTATATGAAAATTAATTTTGTTCCATCCTCCCTTACCTCATTCATTTTCTTCTCTAAAATTTTCATTGCCTTCTTATGTTCATCCTCAACTAATTTCTTCTCTTTCTCATTCTTTTCCTTTTCTTGATTAAATTCAGTTAAAAGATTGTCAAACTTCGTTTGAATTTTTACAATTTTATCATAATTTGGTATTTCTTTCATTGTAGATAAATTTTAACGTTTTTTGAAAAATATCGGCAGTATCTGAAAGGAGTGCTCGGATCGCATTTTTCCTTATATTTTTCCTTACCTCGGAATAGGGTCAATTTTCCTTAGTGTTTGTTTGTCATGAGGCAAAATTGTGTAAAAAATATTTTTTCCTTTGCTTATTTTGTTGGGTGAGTGATAAAACTCGGTCTTACAAAACTCGGTCGAGATAAAACTTGGTCGGACAGAACTTGGAACGATCAAGTCGGTCTTACCAAAACTCGGTGCATTTTGTCTGTTGTTGGTTTTCCGTTCCGTTAGATAGCCTGACACGAAAATAAAGAACCAAAGATAACAGCACTCATCCAAAAAAAATCCCAAACAAAATGCACCGAGTTTTGGTAAGACCGACTTGATCGTTCCAAGTTCTGTCCGACCAAGTTTTATCTCGACCGAGTTTTGTAAGACCGAGTTTTATCACTCACCCAACAAAATAAGCAGAGAAAAAATATTTTTTACACAATTTTGCCTTATGACAAACATCAAATACTAAGGAAAATTGACCCCATTCCGAGGTAAGGAAAAATGTAAGGAAAAATACGATCCGAGCACTCCTTTCAGATACGGTCAAAATATCTGAACAAAAAAAATCTATTAAAATTTGCAAGGATTAATGAAAATGTTAAAATCACCAATTGATAGAAAACGTAAACAAATTTAGATATGTAAAATCTTAACTTTCTTGAAAAAGGCATTTTGGTTATTGTAAATTTCAAAGCGGTACTAATGGGAAAATGTTAAAAATAATCAATGATCACTTCTTTTAAAATTTAAAAGCGCGGCGCCTAAATTCGTCACACTACGATTCGTCCCCTAGAACAAAACCCACCATTCGTCCCACATAAAAATTCGTCCCATCTCAAAATGTCCAACAGAGTAAAAATGCTCAATTCGTCCAACTATCGTGTGTTCGTTTAGGGGGACGAATATTGGATAGGACGAATTTAGGGAGGACTTGTCTTGGGTGGGACGAATTATGGGCAAACCCTCGATGAGTTTTCTCGAAATGAGCTATTACTTATCCTAGTGTACGGTAGACGAGAGAGCCCATCCCTCCGGCACCGCTGTTAGAGCCATTGTACATATGTCTACTACGGTGAGATAATTCAAGGCTAAAAATATTCACTCAAGATTAAATACTCTCATTACAAGTTGACTCAAAACAATCTTATTGCCGAAATTTAAGAAATTAATCAAATCACTACAGAATTTATTCAACAATGTTTATAAATTACAACTAGAAATTACACATCACATACAATTAACAAAAAATATTCCATAATAGATTAAACAATGTGACTATTTAGATTATATATACAATGAGGGTACAAGCAAACTATACATATATGCAGCGGGGAAGGAATTTATCGACGGATACGCACATCTTGGATTCTTCACAGGACTATAGTTCCGGCAGCTCTGTTCCTACATCTACCTTCTTGTCCCGGCCTGGTAGCTGGTGTAGCTCGACGGTTTGGAGTATTTCGGCTTCGCCGGGGCAGGTGGCGGTGGAGGAGGCGGCTTCGGAGTAGATTGCTGTAAAAACAAATGAGAATGTAATTAGATGATTAGAAATGCCTTAATGTAAAAAATTAAAACTTGCCTGAGGTGCCCGAGGTGGACCTCCGCCGAAGTGGTCGTCTTCATCGTCGAGCTCAACTTGGAGTTGCCCACCACCGAGTGCTCCAGTGTTTTTGACGTCCGGCGGCACGTAGGCAGACAAGTCGACGTTACGTTCTCCCATGATGCTGTTTGCTTCTTCCTGCGGATGAGTTGAAGATGAGCGTAGATACTTTGGAATCTGACGAATTGGCCTTGTAAATCCTATGGAAAATGCATTAACTTTTATAGTATTTTAAATCCCAGGTGAAGACAGTTTTCAGAAAAAGTCGAGAATTAATTAGCATTATTTAAACTTCGATATACAAACGTTCTACTGCTCAACAATTTTGTGTAAGTTTTATTTTTATTTTACCTAAATGCAATGAATAATTGAAATAGAAAATGAGCATTTCCAACCCAATGAACCGAGTAAACTTTAAAATAAAGCTAAAAAAGGTAAGCAATTTGGGAGTAGAAAAGTAACCATCAATTTGATGATGGGCATTTGAAAGTTTGGCCCAAAATTATTAACGCTAAAATTATAGCAAGGGAAGGGGAAAGGGGGAGAAACTTCCAAAATTTTATCTTTTTTACTTACAAAAAACAAACTTTCACAAATATTTAAACTTAACAATTTTTACAAAATCTCTTACCATTAAACTTTATTTTCTGAAGACACCAACTTTTACGAGAAGATTTAGATATTTAAAAATATTTTAATAATTTTATTATTTTTTTAAAATCAACTTCTCTATTGGCTAATTACAATTTAAATATTATAAAACTTTCGCAAAACTTACAATACCACCATAGACTTAAAAATTACAAAGACTTATCATAAAAGAACTTTATTAAAGATTATAAAACAAAAATACAAATATTTATGGAAGCCTGTCATTAAAAAATTTTTTTTATTATCCCTTTTCAAATTTATAAATTTTGCGAAAAATAAAATAACTATAAGTAAAAAATTGAGCCTTAAGATTGTTAAAAGAAAGATCCTTAAGATTTTAGCAACAAAATGTTGATGCCCTCTTCCGTTTCTTCATCACCTGCTGTGAAAATCAAAGGTGGAGGCGTTGCCGCGACAACTCCATCTTCAACAATAAATCCTCCTCCAATTGGGGGTGGAAGACATTATTTTTCGACACTTTTACGTCAAATGGACCAAGAAAAAGTTTTATCAAAAATTGAGGAAGGGACAGCAAATGGAAAAACTACGAATAATATTGTTGGTGATGATGGTGGAGAAAATGTTAAAACACAAACTAAAGGAATTACACACAAAATTAGGGTTATTCTTCCTCATGGTGAGAGAGAGAATTTTTGAGAAAACTTTTAATTAATTTTAAGTTCTCCTTTTTCTCTCAACAATACTTTATGGACTTTTTGGAGCATTGGTGAGTTAACAAAAATTAAATTTTGATTAATAAAGTTAGACTAATTTTAGTTATTTCCAGACTATTTAGCTTTTTTTATTCAAGATTTTATGCTTAGTTTCCTACCTAGGGGAGAGGGGGAAGGGTATTGTTTAAACGATAATTTAATAAAAGTATTTTTCAATCTATGAATTAAGACAAACTTCAAGATAACTTAGTATCTATTTCCATACTTTCATATAAAAATGTTAAAGGTTTTCCAACGTTTGGAACGTCCATTTGAAGTTTTACATTTACAAGAACACACAGAAGCTATCATAAAAGCACAAAATGAACTTTTTGTCTTTCCAAATTCTTCTCAAAAAATTTCAAATATAAGCGAGAATGTTGAAATTGAAGAGGAAATATTAATTGAAAAAGCAATTGATAATTTAATTAAATTATATATGGAAGGTACTAAATAGTTATTTTAGAAATATTAATTTAAAATAAAATTAAAGTTTATTTTACATCTGATAGAAAAACTAATAACCTTTTGACTAACAATTTAAGAATTTTTTTTTAATTTCAGCATTCGAACAGGGAATTCGTGCAGACGAATTAGCTATAGCTATTGAAGATTTTAATTCAAAAAATAATTTAAAAAATCTAGAAGAAGAAGAAAATAATTTATTATTACATCGTCGGTTGCCTAAATGGCATTTTCATTCTTCTTTGTTTTTTACTGCTACACTTTTAACTTCTATAGGTTATGGAAATTTAGGTAATTAATAAAAATATTTTGAATTAAAAATTGTTTTGATTAAGAACAAAAAGGATTAATTAATTTAATTTGGTTTATGATACTCTCATTCCTTGGGGGTTTTTCTCCCCTATTCCCCGAATTTCTTTTTTCAGATTACATATCCCCAACCTGACCCCAAATTAAAAATTCTTCTTAATTTATTTTTCTAAATTTTCATTTAAATTTTCAAGTCCCAATATCTCCATTTGGCCGTCTTTTCTGTATTTGTTATGCATTTCTAGGCATTCCTTTAACTTTAATTACAATAGCCGATGTAGCTAAATATTTAAGTGATTTAATTTTAAATATTGGGAATTGGCTAGAAAAGAAGTTTGAAGGAAAAAAGAAGAAAAATGAAAGGAAGGAAGAAGAAAATGAAATTAAAAATAAAAATAATTCTAGTCCAATAATTAAAATAAATGAGGAAAATGGAGGGGAAAAAGAAAGGAAAAATGAGGAGGAGGAGGAAGAAGAAGAGACGGGTGGTATTTTAAGACAACCTGGACCTTATACTAAAGTTGTTTTAAAAAAAGAATTTAAAATATTTTAAGAGAAATATTTTTCTATTTTTTTGTTTCTAGTTGGGGAATAAATTAAAAATTTTAATAAAATTTGAAAAATTAAAACAAAATTATAAGTAAAATATTAAAAAATAAATTTCAAAGGGTTTTGTTCTCTTTTTGCTTTTTGGATATATGATGGTAAATAAATAAATTTAAAAAATAATTTTTTGAAATTATTTCTTTCAAGACAATGGCTTTTCTTTTTTGGCATGTCCAGCCTGACTGGGGGTTATTAGAATCAATTTATTTTACTTTAATTACTTTAGTTAATTAATTAATTTTAAATTTAAATAATTCCTTTTATTTTTTTATGTAACAATTGGTTTTGGTGATTTTTGTCCGACACTTGAAGGAAATTATTCTTTTAATAATTCAAATAATTTAAATAATATTACCCCAACAACTACAACAGCCTTTGGATGGATTTTATTTATTTTTGTAGGGCTAACTTTGAGTACACTTGTAATTTAATTAATTAAATAATTAATTTAAATAAATAAATTAAATAATTATTTATTTTTAGACTGTAGATATGGTTGGCTATAGTTATATTGAAAGTTGGTTTTTTATAAAAATTAAAACAAAAATTTTTTTGGGCAACTTGTGGTAACATGTTGGGGAACCTGTTGGTGACATACATAAATAAAAATACTTTTAAATTGCTCAAAAATTTCTCTCTATGCCAATTCTTATTAATTATTTATAAGAAATAATTATTTATAACATTACAGGAATTCACACATTGGGACGTGGTTTTCACCTCGGATCGCTTCTTACAATGTTATTTTAATAAATAAATTTATTTTAAATACTTCATTTATTTTTAAAGGTTAAAATTAGGCAGAGGAGATGCTGGCCCAGATTCAGCCCGTTTACTTAGACAATTACATGCTGGGGCTTTTATGTTTTATTTTCAATTAAATTAAATTTTAAATTTTCATTTAAATTTAGCCCTGCTGATCTTAAATTAATTCCATATATTGACCAATTATTAAGTCAACGCCCTTCTATTGAAACTGTTTTGTTTGATAATGGAAGTGGACAAAAGGTGAGAGAAATAATGAGGAAATTATTTTAAAAATTATTCTAGTCTGGGTTTTCTTTTCTTCCTGATCCAACAAAAGGAAAAGACGATTTTGGTAATCGAAATGCAAGAAATAGAAAAAGAAATACAGGAATATTTGTTTAAATTAAATTTACTTTTTTATCATTTGTTATTTTGCGACTAAAAAATAAAAGTCGTTTTGAACTTGCGACAGAGAATAAAATCGAAAAAATGAAAGGCAAAATCAACATTTCTCTCCTTTCCTAATTATTTGCCGCAATTTTTATTTAACCCTAGTGAAACTTTTTGTCGCTGATTATTTTATGTACATACATACATAGATTTTTAATTAAAACTTTACAAACTAACTAATTAATTTTCATAAAATCATTTTATGCTCCTCACAAAAAGTTTTTGAAAATTTCAGATTATCTGTTCGATTATTTACATATTTCTTCAAGTTTTTATATATTTTATCTACTATTTTTTTATCTAATTTTTAAAAAAATTAAAATTTAATAAATATTTCGGCAAAACACTCAAAAGATTTCATTTTTTTAATTTTTTAGTCAAAATATTTCCTTCGACCTTAATTATATATATTTTCTTTTTTTACCTTTCCAAACAGCAAAACATTCTTTAATTGATATTTGGGGGGTTATAAAACAAAAAAAAAAGAAAAAATAATGAAAAATTCAGCAACCGCATTTATTTATTCATTTGTATGTCCAAATAAATTGATCGAAATATAAAAATGTGTTTAGTATTTTTGCGCACCTTTTAGTTATTAAATAAAATTATTTAAAATATTTTTAGATAATTAATTGTTTTTTCTACTAGTTTATTTGTAATAAGTCTAAAATTTATTCAAAACAAGAATATTTTGTAGTATTTTGTTGTGGAATATTTTACTTAAATATATTTAACTTTAATTTTTCTTTAATTTATTTAACATAATTAAATTTTTTTTTGATAATGATTGGGGGTTTAGGAACAAAAGTTTCAAAACAAAAGTTTCTTGTAAAAATGGGAAAATTTGGGTGAAATTATATAATTATGTAGCTGTTTCCAAATACCTCTAATCCAAATAATTTTTTTTTAAATTTCCTCTCAAAGAGTTTTGATTATCAAAGATTTTATAGTCTAATAAACTAAAAATATATTTAATTATTTCTCCAAATCTAATATATAAAGAATTGATTATAATCTTCAAAGTAAAGGTCAGATTGTTTGGCGACAGCCTTGAAAGATGAAGAAAAAAGATGATGATCATCTACATACCTCCCCACCTTTCCCCCTTCACAAATTGTGTTGTTTCTCTTTAATAAATATATTTTTAGCCGTCAATTTGTGCGCGGACTTTTTATATTTTCCATTCATTCATTCACTCCATTGCACTCTTTTTTACTTACTTTAGTATATGCCCCAAATTTTATTTAAGTATTAATAATACTAAATAAAAAAAATATTTTTTTAAATATTTTCCTTTTATTTGTGTCAAGAGGAGATTTTCATTTAATAAAATTATTTTCATTAATTAATTAAATTTAAGGGAATTAATAAGGTGGTCAATCCTTACCTGAAAAAATAATAACTACTCAAATAATTACCCTGGGTATTTATTTTTTCGGCCTCTAGCTGGATGGGGTAATTAATGGGGAAGTGAGAATTATCTGAGAGAGAGGGTACTTATTTGAGTAACTACATGTATTTATTATAAATTAGCTTTTGATCCTAAAATGGGATTGAATCTTGAATTCTTATTATGGCAAGTTTAATTTTCCACGTATTTTGATTTAACAGAAGCTTCGGAAATCTGGGTTTTTAGTTAAAAATAGAAAACCCTATTTAGGATCATTGGAAATTGAATCAAAAAAATACTTATTTAATGGTCTAAAGATAGCATCATTTTCCTTACCACAAGTTAATAAATTTTACTGATATTTGGAACCTTCTTTTATTTTTTATCTTTATTAAACTTTTGAGATTGACACTTTTGTTTATCTTCTCAATATAAAAAAAGATATCGGTCTTTTTAAGTATCAATTGTATATTTTATTTTCCTCTTTTTACAATTCCTTCTTCCCCTTCCCCCAACATTTTCGAGACTCCTCTCCTTATTCTTTTAATTTAAAATATTTATTTATATTTGACCGCTTCTTTTTAACAAGTTTTATGCTTTTTATTTATTTCTATTTCTTCTTTTGTACAAAACTTTTAGAATTTTTAGATCTTGCTTGCGATTTTGTCTACAAATTTGTCCTTTTTCTTTTTAGTTTTTCTTAGTTTTTGATTCCAATTCCTTTTATTTTTGCGCATTCAAGCATTTTCAAAAATATATTTTTAAATATTTAAATCTCTAGATTCTAATTAAATAACTCTACAACTCTTGATTTTATCTATTAGACCAGTTATTATTAGAGATCAAACTGAAACGAAATTTCATTTAAAAATATTAGTTACTCAAGCCTTTCTTTCTAATAAACATTTTTATGATACATATTAATATATCCAATTTGGTTGTTTTGGGTTGAAAAAAAGGTTCTAAGAAATTAGTAAAAGATTCTCAAGTTTACAAGGGGGAGAGAGTTGTTGTTTTATTAGAAAATGCTTGATTTCTGATCTTTTTTCCATCCGAACATTTAATTTAATTTAAAAATATTGATCACCCTGTCTTTTTTTTTATTTTTACAAAATAAATTTATTTAGTATGCGCAGACAGCAAACAATAAATGTATTGTTGAGAAAAGTCTGACCTGATCCTTGTAAATATTTAAAATATATTTACAGAGACAACAATAGTGTAAGTATGTCCAGTGACACGAAGTAGACTTAGAATTTATTTATTTAAAAGAGTTTAAGAAATAAAATAAAAATTCATTTAAAAATTAAAATTAATTTTTAAGTCTCCTTCCAACAGAACGGAAGAGATTCCTATAGATTCCTATAGATATTTACATAAAAATTTGAAATTTTTAGGTTCTGGTAGATATTCAGAAAATTAGGAAATAAAAAAACCAGAAAATATTTTAATTTACTCCTTTAAAAATAATTATTTTTAAAAAAAGTTTCACTTAGCTTCCATTAAATTTAATTTTCTAAAATTAATTTTAACCTTCCTCACAAATTTTTTTATATATATTTTTTTAATTTTTTGCCCAATTCAAACAAAAAACCATCATTATAAATCATTATGTTTTCGTTTGTCCACTTGCGCACTTAAAAATAAATATTTATACCTTTCAATATGTCCTTTATAAAAAATAATTTTTGAGTGGAAAAAGAAAAAAAGAAATTAAAAAATTTTCAGTAGATGCGCGAAAAACTACGAAAAACTACAAACAATTTTCTTCTTTCTTTTTATTTTTCAATTATTTCTTTACAAAACAACCCGAAAATCCATCTTTCAATAAATTGGTAGCGAAAAGTTTTTGTGTGCCCGAAGGCTATCCTCCTCCTCCCCCTCCTCTCTTTTGAAAAATTTTTTTTTTGGTAAAGGAACTACTAATAAATAAATAAATAAATTTATTTATAACAACCAATAGAAATCTAAATATTAGTAAAACCTTCCTTTCTTCTTTTACTTCTCCAAATAACCATGAAAATAACCTTCATTATCCATTACTTAAAGAAGATTGTTAGGCGCGGAAAGGATTTGTCGCGCATATTTGTAAATTATTTAGTAATTTTGGAAGTATTTTATTGAAATTTTGAATAATTGAATAATTGAATAATAATTAATTTAAAATAAAAAACTAAGTAAGCATGTATTACTTTAAGGCATAAATAGATGAGATAAAGTTTTGCTTAAATATATCATAATAGCTCATTCTACGAGGCTTCCAGAGCTGAATTGAAGTTGATAAATCCTAACTTGATCTACACCCATTCGATTTTTCTAATCATTTCAGTTCACATTTCAGTAATACTTACAAAATTTTTAAATATAGAGAAGTTGACCTTAGAGAATTTTTAAGCTAAATTACTAACTTTAGAAGAAATAAATTGCGCACTTAAAAGTCATTGCGCCTAAACCTTTCTCAATGAATTTTTCTTCTTTAATTTATTTTATTTTGATTGATCATTTAAATATTAATTAAATATTATTTTATTTTTTTATTAAAAAATTCTTTTTAAATATATAAAAATTAAAGTTAATTAAACGTCATATAATTTAATGGAATTTGCTTCTCCTCCCCCTCTTTTTAATAAAAATATTTATTCTTTAAATAATAATAAAATTCCTATTTTTGTATTTATTGTAATTAATGAAGAAGAAAATTTAAATAATTCGAGAAATACTTCTACAACTACTAATAGTAGTACACCTTCATCTTCTCTTTCTTCGTCTTCTCAGGTAAATTATAATTAAATATATGTATATTCTATTTTTCAAAAGGACATTTTCCTCATTATTTAATATCAAGATATTATCTTTCCCAAAGAATTACCGTTAACATTCCCAAATTGAATAGAATGGGCTTGAAAGATTCCCCTAGGTCTTGAGTTATACTATACATATTTTTGACCCAAAACCTTTTAGAATCCAAGGAAAATTCCTCTTAATTTTTTAAAGGATTCAGCAATAGTATTATGCCCATCAACATCCTCATCTAATAATGGTGACAATTTATCCCCACCTCCCGATCCAAGACAAGAACCCCCACCCCCACCACCAACATCCTCAATATCAACAACAAAATCAAAACAAACTTCCCCCACCTCCCCCTCTTCTTCTTTTTCAAATAAACAAAGCAATTTAATATTTTTATATTTAAATTGGTTTTTATTTGACCCATTAAATAGTAATAATTCTTCAATAAAAATAGAGGAAGAAGGAGAAGAACAAAAAATTGGAAATGAGGAGGAAGAAAAAGAAGAAGAAAATAATAATGGAATTAAGCAAATAAAATTAAATATAAATAATATTTTTGAAAAATTAAATAAGGTTTTTACTTAATTATTTTAAAAAATATTTCTATTTGAGGGGTTGATTTAAATTAAATTTTGTAGCATTATTATCCTACAAAATATTAATTCATTTTTTAAGATTTTGTGAGTGTTAATGATAAAATAAAATTTTTATTAAGTGGTATTAATTATTTTTCTTTAAAACTTTTAGAATAAATTTTATGGATACGTAATAAATAAGTATTATCCATAAAATACAGAACAAAAAAATATATTTAAATATTTATACATAATTTCTTCCAAAAATATTTTTGGAAAAATATACATAAAATCAAAAAGAAATTTATTATTTTTCTAATAAAAAATTATTTAACTATTTTTATAGTTGGCAAAGGACTTGGAAGAGGCATATCCAGACCGTAATTTACTATTAGTGTGTAATAGACGTTCACTTCGCCAATTACTTTATCCACTTTGTGCCCAAGCATTTTTAGCTAAATTGGCAGATGAGGGGGAGGAGCAAGTAATTTAAATTAAATATAAATATTATTTGGAAATAAAGGAGAGGGGGAAAGAATTTAATTAATTTAGAGGAATAATTATTAGGTAGTCTTAATTTTTGATTGATATACTATACTTTCATGTCCATTATAAGTTAAAATTATTACCATTATTTGATTAAAGTTTGAACACTTCAGATTAGTCAGGCTATTCCCCCCTTTTCGGATAAAAGGATAGTATTCAAAAATTAGAGGTACCTATATTTGATTGAAGGTATATCCAATGACCACAAAATAAAAAATATATTTAAAATCGAAAAATAAATTCGAGATCCTCTAACTTTATAATTAAAAATTATAAAATAAATTTATTTAAAAAAAGGCATTTTCTGCTCGATTGCCATTACCTAAACTCTTTCACTCATTTGTGCCTTTATTTGAAGAATTAACTTTTAATAACAATACTTCATCATCTTCATCTTCTCCATTTTCTTTGAATAATGAAAAACAACAATTAACAAATAAACAAGTATGTATTTTTTTTTAATTTTTAAGAAAGGAATTTAAATAAAATTTTAATAACTTTTTCCATTTTTAACGAAAATTTATAATTTTTTCCCCTGGACTTAGGAAATTTTTTGATACTAAAATCGCCTTTAAATTTTATTTTTTCTATTAAAAAATCAAAAAATTCTTTAATTATTTTTATTTAATTTTTGCAGCTATTTTCTACATTAAATAAAGAATTTGTACATTTTTGTCAGTCATTTAATAATAACAATCAACAAATTAATAAATTAAATATAGAATATATTCAACAAGGATATCAATCTATGCTTTGGTTTCTTTTTAAAATTAATTTTTTTGGTAGATCCATTGACGGGATTTAATTGAACTTATAAGAAAACATTTTTTAATATTTCATTGGCAATTTTTTAACTAAATAAAAATTTTTTTGGGTGCCCTTTCGGTGTTAAACAGGCAATTCTAATTATTAAAAATAAAATATATTTCAAAAATATTTTCAAAATTTAAAAGTACTGATACTCAAAGTATTGACTCAAAAACAATAATTCGTGCTCGGGGACTTCCTTGGCAAGTATCTGATTTGGATGTAGCTCTTTTCTTTGCTGGGCTGGAAATTGCAAAGTAATTATTAATTAAAAGAATTTTATTTAAAAAATTCTTTTTTAAAAAAGAGGCGGAGTAATTTTATGTCTCGGACCTGAAGGAAGGCGAAATGGGGAGTGTCTAGTTAAATTTGAAGTAAATTTTGAATAAAATTATTTTAAAAATTTATTTCTTTTTTAGACTCCAGAATATAGGGATTGGGCTCTTGAACGGCATAGATGCCATTTAAGACAACGATATATTGAATTATACCGCTCAAGTGCTGACGATTTTGTGAGGCATGCTATAGGTAATTTTTAAATTTAAATATAATTTGGAGTGATCCTTTTTTACATAAATAATTTAGGGGATGCACATATGTAGCTTCACTTGTTTCTTTTATTTTTTGTTTTGCCGAATTAGGGATCTCTTCTATTAAAACTCTACTAGCTCTCCTTCTTTCCCCCAAAAAATTTTTTAAAACTTAATATAAAATATTATTTTTCTTTTTAATTTATTTTTTCTTAAATAAAATTAAAAAAAAAACTTTAACTACCAAAAATTCATCCAAAAATTTAGAAGCTTTTTTACCTTTATTTATTTATTATTGTTGTTGTCCCAGCTGGTTTTTTGTATAATTTATTCCGTTATTTATCCAAAGCTTTTATCACTCAAAAAGATTTTTCTCTTCTGTTTTTCTGATCGATTTAGTTAATAATTTATTTTATTTCTCTCTCTCTCCCACCCTCCTTCCTTCTCCTTCTCTCTATTAAAATTTTTAAAAAATAGAAAGAAAATTTTGGCTAAAAATTTAAAAAAATGCCAACAACACAATTGAAAAAATGGAAACAAAAATTTTTATTATAGACAGAGAGAAGGAAAGATAAATTTTTATTTTATAGGGAAAAAGAAATAAAGAAATTTAAAAAATTAAAATTTATTTCCTCCATTTTATTTTAATAATTATTTAAACATTTTTATTAGAGAGAGAAGAGGGGGGAGGGTAGGAGGGGATGTTTAAGCATTTTTATATTTGGGATTTTATTTTGGGATTCATTTTAAGTTTTGGAGATTTTTGTTGGTTTTTTTAATATTTAAAAATATTATTTAAAAACTTTTAATATCTTAAATATTACTACTTGATTTTCTTAAGGGAATATATAATTGAAGGTAATACCTAACTTTTTAAATAACTTTTTGGGGAATTAAATTAATTAGGGATATTACCTACATATTTAACCAGGGTTCGGATCGAGAAAATGTCAAGTGTAAGTACAAAAAGTTCAAATTGGAAGTACACAGGGGGAAAAATTTTCAAAATGTAAGTACGCTACAAAAAAATTTTTCAAAAACCTTTTTTAGTGCCGAAGCTGCTAAAAAGTCTTCCATTTTTTGCGCCGCAGGCGAAAATTTTGACGATTTTAAGGGGTTAGGAGCCAGATTTCTTCCCTTTTTTGAGCCGCAGGCGAAAATTTTGAGAATTTTGGGGGTCCTTAAGCCAGATATCTTCCATTTTTTGCGCCGCAGGCGAAAATTTTGAGAATTTTGGGGGTCCTTAAGCCAGATATCTTCCATTTTTTGCGCCGCAGGCGAAAATTTTGAGAATTTTGGGGGTCCTTAAGCCAGATATCTTCCATTTTTTGCGCCGCAGGCGAAAATTTTGAGAATTTTTAATGTTAAATTTAATTTTTTAACCAAAAAGTCTATTTGTAAGTACGTACTTACAAATAAGTACATTTTTAATTTTGGAAGTACGAAGGTCGATTTGTAAGTACTGTACTTCCAAAATAAGTACGAATCCGAACCCTGTATTTAACTGATTTTAATTGTGAATGTTACTTACATTATTTAGTTATAAATTAGGTTATTTTAACACAAATAATACCGAAAAGTGTTTATTTAAGTATACTTCTCGGTATCATTTTTTATCCTTCCCCCCTCTCCCCTACCTTAACAATTTAAACTTTTCTTCTTTAAAATTTACTTCCTAAATTAAAGAATCTTTAAAAAAATATTTTTAACAATTCCCCTCTATAATTTATTTTTTTTGTTGCATTATTACTATTTATTTTTGTTTGTCTCTCTTTATAAGACGAAAGTTTTAAAGCATGAATTTTTTTTGAATTTTATTAGAGAATTTATTTTATTAAAAATTGGGTTTATAGTCAGTTATAGATCGATTTTGCTGTTCATTCATATATTCGCTTTTCCCTTCTAATAATTTTATTTTTTTTATTTTTTAACAGCTATATGTCTATTTATTAAATTAATATTTAAATTTTTTTAATGTTAATTGGAAATATTTAAATAATTATTGCTAAAAATACTTTTTTAAATTTAAATATATATAAATGATCTTTTCTATTTAAAATTATATTAAATAGGATGACCGCGATTTAAACGAAGGGGTGTTGGGCGGTTTCCTGTAAATTTTACGTTTCTGGTGAAAATAAATAAATATTTTGATAGGCTATTAGATTTTTCGAAAACCATAAAAGCATTTTGATCTAAAATTTTTTTGATTCAGTTTTCGAGTTTATAAAATCTAAAGATCGAGTAGAAAGACAATTAAGAGGGAAAAAATAATTTTTATAATTAATTAGCACGAAGGGGTGTCTTTTAATATCAAATAATAATATTAAATTACATATTATTTGATTTTTATTTTCTTTTAAAAATATTATTACATCATTTATACAAATTTTATTTAAAAAATATTTTTTTCTCAAACTAAAGCTAAACAGACATATTCAATTCATTTTCCTTCCTAATAATCCTCCTTATTTCTCCCTTTCCCAGAAAAACAAAAATCTAATAATTTTAGGGATAAAAAGTTCTTTTTTTTTGTTTTAAATTTTTAAAATTTCTAAAAATAATTTTTAATTCCAAAACTCTAATAGCCCTCTTTATTCTCTCACTTCATTCAAGCAACATTTTATATTAGCTATAAAAATTTTTTTGAGGGGGGGGATGGTAAGAGGGAGACATCCCTGCGCTTATTAAGGTGTGGCAACATACAAGGGAGAATTAAAAAAAGGAAAGAGAGGATAGAGGAGAGGGGGAGGGTTGATAAAATAAGGCATTAAACAGCAACAGTAATAACCATGCTTGCTTCCGGATTTTTAAATTTTATTTTATATATTCTCTTATGTATTTTCCCTTTCACTTTCACTTTTTCTGGCCTTTGCTTATTGGGGGGTTTTACTATAATTAAATCAGAATTTTATAAATTATTTATGGGATAATTAATTAAAATTAGAATTTTACACTCGAATTTATAAATAGTTTAAAATTCTGATAAGTAATATAACTAATAATCAGAATTTATGTCACAATGAAAACACAAAATTAAAAATACAAAAATTTAAATCAGAATTATATTTTATTTTTCTGGTTTTCTTTATTTCATTTCACCTTTTTTCTTTTTTTCTTTTTATAGGAATAGATCATTGCGCACTAAATTTTGCTCAACTTGCTGACCAACAATCTCAACAAAATTTCCATCAAGCAATGATTGTTCGTATGAGAGGCCTTCCTTTTTCTGCCACGGAGCAACAAATTGTTTAGAATTTTTTAAATTATTATTTTTAATTAATTATCTCCCTTCGTTTTCGGGCCTTTGAGAGCTTTTCGGTGTCTTTTTACGAATTTTGGGACTTTAATCTACACATTTCTTAACATTTTTAATTTTTATTTTATTCTCCCTAAATTTAATAAAATTTTAAAATTTTCCCAATTTTCAGCGTGACTTTTTCTCAACTGACGGCCTTCCCAGTGGAATTCTCCAAGAAGGTGTTCTTTTTGTCCAGCGACCTGATGGACGGCCATCTGGTGATGCTTTTGTTCTTTTTTGTGATGAACAAAGTGGACGTAGAGCTTTACTAAAACATCGGCAAAGAATGGGGACTAGATATATAGAATTGTTTAGAACAACACAAGCAGAAGTTCAACAACTTTTTAATTCTAAACAACAAATTATTAATGCTCAAGAAAAAAATTTAGGAGGAGGGGGAATTTTAACAAATAATAATTTGTTGGTTAATAATAATCAAAAAACACAAACAATAATAACTTCAACAACTAGTAGTGCTTCTAATGGAATAATTAATGTTTGTGTTTTGACTTAAAAATAAATATTTAATTAAATATATAATTTCAGATGGTAGTAACCTATGGAGTCGGATTTTATAAAATATTAAAATTACAGAATTACTAAGAATTATTTATTAGGTTAACACAACTTTCCGTTACATTCCCTTTTTCCTGGGCGATGCTACAATTTATCTCATTTTTCATAAATAATTTTTAAAAATATTTTAGACACTTCCCCCAATTTTTGCCCCACCAATAAACACATCAGTAGCAACCTTTATACCTTTTGGCAAACCAACACCTCCTCCTTTCAAAAATGGTCGTCGGCGTGATTGCCTTAGACTAAGAGGCCTTCCATACGAAGCACAAGTACAACAAGTTGTTGAATTTTTGGGACCCCATGCAAGGCATGTACTCTTTCAAGGAGTACATATGGTTGGTTATTTTATTTAAAATTATTTTTAAAATAAAATTACACAGATTTATACTTCTATTGGTCATCCAAGTGGTGAGGCTTTTATTCAAATGGTAAGACATAAAAATATTTTTTTAAATTAATTTATCTAATGATTTGAGAGTTGAACATTAAATAATAAAAAAATTATTAAAATTTTTTCAACTAAAATTTTCTTTTAAAAACTACAGGAATCAGAACAAGCTGCTTCTAATGCCTCACAAGAATGTCATAATAAATATATGGAACTTGGGAAGAAGAAACGGTAATTATTGTGTTTTGATTAGAGTTGTGGGGTTTGCTAAATTATTCGTAAAATCTTCGAGGTTTGGTGTAGATTAAAGGACTTGCAACCTTAATTTTGCTTATAATTTTAATCAGAATTATGAAAACCCTAAACTAAATTTTGTCGAAATACATTAGAAAATTAAATCTAAATAGCCATATTTTAATCAGAATTAATTAAAAACACAAAATAATAAAATAATATTTTTCAGTTATATCGAAGTTTTCCAATGTTGTGCAGACGATATGAGTCTTCATTTAAATATTTTACAACAATCACCTCCATTAATACCTCCATCAGCAGCCCCAGGCTTATTACCAACTCCTCATTCCCCATTAATTCCTCTACCTACAAATGGAACTTCTCCTCTTTTTTCATTGCCAGCTACAAATCCTTTTTTGGCAGCATTTGCTGCAGCGACTAATGTTGGAGGTAAATTAATTAATAAATTAAGTAATAGAAATTTATTTTTTTAGCAATAAATGAACA